AACAGGACCTAAAGATGAAACATCAAATATCAAATATAGAAGCGCTGCTGCAGTCTGCTGATAAAAAAATTGATGAAAATAAAGAAAACTTAGATTCACAACTACATGACTTCATTAAGAAGGTCTTGTTTAAAAAAAATATATATCTGTATATTGATTTATGTGAGCCACTTTGTATATTTATATTTGTACATTTATTCTAATAACAGTATTATGTTAATTTAAATTGTAAAATAATATTCAAATGTATCATTCTGACTCAGTAAATTGCTTAATTGTGCCAAACAAGCTTTAAACTAGTCCTACATTGATTAATATTTAAAAACTTCTAATCAATTCTAGAATAATTTATCAAGACTAATTAGTTTACAATGTTTGAAAAAGTTGAACCAAGTAATACCAGTAATAGATGAAAAGAAAAAGGAAACTTCCAGAAAGGTAATTAAATTAGCTAAATATCTCTTATTTAATATATATATATATATATATATATATATATATATATATATATATATATATATATATATATATATATATACAATGTATAAAATTCATTATTATCAATGTGGTGGCATCAAGTTTATCTAGCATTTGAGCATGGTTTTTTTTATTGAGTCATTGATATTTAGGAAACCCTTAAAGCATTACCAATTTTTGTTGTGTTCAGTTTTTTATATATCTGAAATCTTTTTCTAATGGAAAAAGGGCTATAACATTTTTTTTAACATTTTTAAAATCTAGTTACATTTATTGATGAATGAAATGAATTCAGTACAGAGACAAGTAACAGATTTGGGTGAGGTTAACTAAATACTATTAACCTTATGTATAGAAAAATTTCCAGAAAAATATCTCATTCATCTTTAACTTGGATTACTGTATGTTGAAGTCTCTTTTGAATCTCTGTGAGCTCTATAGTGATAAATCAATTTGAATCTAGCTTCTAACATGTAATTTGAATTGTAAACTGTCAATGTTACTTTCAGTTAAGGATTCACATCAACTTTCTTACAATTAATCACACTTCTTCCATCTAAAGGGTTTTATATATATATATATATATATATATATATATATATATATATATATATATATATATATATATATATATATATATATATATATATATATATATATATATATATATATATATATATATATATACATATACATCCATGCACATGCACACACACACAGATATATATATATACATAAATAAATAAATAAATAAATAAATATATTTATATATGTATATATATATATATATATATATATATATATATATATATATATATATATATATATATATATATATATATATATATATATATATATATATATATATATATATATATATATATATATATATATATATATATACATACATATATATACTTTTTTCTTTTTAATTTTTAGAAAATCATTGTCTATTTCCTGTGGGATTTACTGCATACATAAAAGATGCGATAACTCCAAAGATGCACACACTGTTAAATGGTTTTGACAACATTAAGTACAATTTAAGTGGATCCTTTGACCCATCAACTGGAATATTCACCGCCCCGACAGATGGCATGTATGTAGTTTCACTCACGATTGGACAGGCAGGTGAAGGAGCGATTGGTGCCAGAATAGATCAGGTGCTCAAATACCCAGGTGTGTTGTCTGGTGATGAGAAACCTATTATGATTGGTGAAGTTTGGACCACAGTGGACAACACAAGCAGCTGTATGGTGTGTGTTGTACATATGAGAACTGGTGACACTGTGTGTATCACAACTGTTCATGTATCTGGTGCCGCAAAATGTAATGCATTGTCTTGCTTTTCTTGTTTCTTGGTTTGATAATTTAAAATGTTTTACTAAAAATAATTTACAGTTGTGAAAATAATATTAACAAAGACCGAAAATATATGCTAAAATTTCAAATATATTTAATTTTTTATTTATTAGTCATTATTTTAAGATAATAATGAACCTTTAAGAATCGAACTGTTTTTAAAAATTATATTCTTAGCTTGGTCATTTTTTTGCTTTTAATAAAAAACAGCTTCATTTGAACATTGACTTTTTATAAACATTTATTTAAACAGACATGTGTCAGTTACTTTTCACATAGGCTTTTCACAGAAAAATAAATAATCTGGTTCTTAACATTCCAAAGACAATCATCATCATCATAATTTTTCCCTGCAGTGCCCAGGACACTTGGTGCCACCCCCAGAAACCTCTTTCAACTTTTGTTTCTCTAGCAACTTTCTTCCAGTCAATGTCAGTTGTTTTTCTACCGTGTACCTCCATGTCTCCCTTCTTCTTCCTGTTCTTGTTTTCTTTTGCGGTGTCCAGAGACACTGCTCATGTGTAATTATCTCAGTAGTTCCCTAATTAATTTCTGTTTGAATTTTTAAAATTATCATGTCTGTTGGTGATTGTCTTCTAATTTGATTTGAAATCTTTGAAAAGTATCCCTATCCAGAAAAAGATGTAATTTGTATAGTATTTTGAAATAAGGAATGTGCAAGCTTTTTAATATATATTTGAACAGAGTTAAAATGATTTTTTTCAGCCTCCAGTATTCTGGCTATAAATGTGCTAAAAATTTTTTTATGGTAATTATATATGCATAGAATACTTATTATAAATAATATTTGCATTATATTTGCAAACAACACTTAGTTATAATAAATATCTTATTTGAATGAAACACTTTGTTATAATAATATGTGCATAATTTTGCATAGAATGCTTCGTTATAATAATACCATTAAATTTGCATTAACACTTACTTAAAATAATATTTGCATTATATGCATAGAACATTTATTATACCAATGTCAGACATGCAGAGCGTCAATATTTGTGTATTAGACATTCTATTAAAACACTGAATAGACCTAGATCTGATATTTTTAGATATTTTTATTTTAATTCTACACGGTGGTTGCCAGATTGCACTTGACTAAAATTATAACTGCAGTCAAAGGTCACCCCACTTTTGTAGGTTCTGCCAGGCTCAACTCATGAAAAACATTTTTTGTAGTGTTGTCGTTATCCTGTTCCTGAGCACTTAGTGGCGATTGTCTAACTTTAGATAATATTGTACGCTGGGCTCTGACCACAGTTGCTTTGGCGCTTTGGCCATAGGGGGTTTGACCATAGCATGGAGTAGGGGTGGGGAGGGTTAACCACATGTTGTTCTTAAAATAGTAATAATAAACTGTTATTTTATTTTTAATTTATGATACAGTGAATACAATTTTATACAAGTTTCCTTTGTTGCTATTAATAAAAATTAGTATGTACTAAAAACATTCAATTGTTAACAAAGATTTATTTTTAGACACGTGAATAAATAACAAACGCTTATTGCATTAGAATAAATATCCAGAAGTTAATCACTCTCTACAAGAGTGAGCTAGAACATCCCTCGTCATCACTCTCCACAAGGGTGAGCTAGAACATACCTCGTCATCACTCTCCACAAGAGTGAGCTAGAACATACCTCGTCATCACTCTCTACAAGGGTGAGCTAGAACATCCCTCGTCATCACTCTCCACAAGAGTGAGCTAGAACATACCTCGTCATCACTCTCTACACTCTCTACAAGGGTGAGCTAGAACATATCTCGTCATCACTCTCCACCTAGAACATATCTCGTCATCACTCTCTACAAGAGTGAGCTAGAACATACCTCGTCATTTCTACACTCTCCACAAGGGTGAGCTAGAACATACCTCGTCATCACTCTCTACAAGGGTGAGCTAGAACATCCCTCGTCATCACTCTCCACAAGAGTGAGCTAGAACATACCTCGTCATCACTCTCTACAAGGGTTACCTCGTCATCACTCTCCACAATAGTGAGCTAGAACATACCTCGTCGACTCCACAATGTAAGTAATGTCGTGGGGCTCTCGTGTAAGCCACCGCTCAATCTACCGCAGTGTACCCAGCGACCAACCAGTTTCGATTTGGTAATAGTTTGTAGTAGCCCACCGAATCGCTGGCGTAGAGCGCTCGTTAGGACAAATATAGATGCACACAAGTGCTAATGGGGAGCCCAGTGTGTTCCTGGTCGTATGATCGTGTGGACGGCGGAGACCCCGGTACAGTTTACACCCCTACTCCTGTGCTGGACGCCCCAATAAACACCCAATAAACTGTCGCAAGTTGCACATATGCCGCGGGAAAACTCGTGTCGCCCACTATAGCATACTACTCCTAAATTATATCAATCAATCACTATGATTATGTAATATGTGTATGATGCTTAGGAGTCTGCATAAGCATCTCATTTTTTAGGCCTGGATCTGTCCCTGGAGATCTGCATATATATATATATATATATATATATATATATATATATATATATATATATATATATATATATATATATATATATATATTTTTTTTTTTTTTTTTTTTTTTAATGTTTTCCATATTTATTTTGTTGACTGAAAAATACAATCCTATTTTTGTACATTTTTTTCCACACAATGAAATAAACATAAATTTGTCTTGATCTTGTGTTAAATTATTTATACAAATTGTCTTTAGAAAGGATATACAAAATAAATAAAAACATTTTATGGATGCTTATTAATTTATCATATTTTTGCTTTTAGTATGTAATTTCTAATAGAGTCCTTGCAAACACGTGACCTAAATCACGTGATACCTACGCCCGCCGCCACAGTGGTGTACATCAGACGTAAACACAATCAGCTGTTCGCCAGCGCTGGACGTGTTCACCAGCGCTGAACGTGTTCACCGTATGTAAAGAATCGCGCCCGCGGAAAAGGAAAAATATGTTTAAAAACTTGAACTCTTAGGAATTGAAGATCCTTATACAGTTATTGACAGTTTCGTGGATAATATAAATATGTGGCCGAAATTTCTAAATAAAAATACTGTTAGTAATACCGTTTGCGTTTAGAGTTTAAGTAGACGAAGCTGATCAAATGCAGTAATATATTATAGGTTATCTACTGTAGCAAACGTGAGACCACTTAACTCCTACAAAACCCACACTACAACGGCTAATATAATCCATGGGTAATAACCAATCTGGGTAGCATGTTATACAATTTAAGACCCTTATAATCCAGCAGGGAAGTAATCAGACACATTAATACTGACGTTCAACCCTCATGATGGCTGCCCCCACCTGTATCTAGCCACAATAAAACCTAAGAGGAGTCTGCCCTGCCCTCCCCTGAAAATGTCTCACCTCCGTGATACCCAGCCCCACAGAGATAGTATTTCTTATATAATTTTGACCCTCAGGGCCCAGCAGGGAGAACAAAGGGGAAAGTCCCACTGCTCTCCCCTCAACACTTCTCACCTCGGTGTCATGTTATGTCATTTATAGCACACACGGCTTATCAGGGGAAAGCATTAAGGCATTAAGAATCTTAACTCTGGACAGCTACACACTAGTATACTAGCTACACACTAGGTGCCTACTGTAAACTACTAGACTGTAGGCCCTATGTAGACCTGCAATTGTATCAATTGTAGACTGGGTCCATTGTTATTATTCTAAACCATCTCACTTATAATGTTTCTAGCTTGATTTTTTTCTTTTATAAACAGTGGATTTTTTTTTAAAAATTAGCCTAATCATTAACCAAATAATAATAATGTGGTTATTTGTTGTTGGCTGGTATGATCTAGATTGTACTACTAGGCTACAAAAACTTAGTAGACCAATTACTAGATATGAATTTGAATTTAATTAAACTCAGTCCAGTGTCAGATACATATTGCTGTAAAAAGACAACAAAGTAGGTAGGCCTTAGTAATTTATTAAAGCCTTCTACTACAATAATATCAACTACATGCTTGTATAAAGTTTTTACAATTTAATTTAAGTAGCAGATTCTAGATCTAAGTCTAGTCATACTAGAATTTCAGAAAATTTCGTTTGCTAAAAAAATGATTAGATAATAGAGCGAGATTTTAGATCTTAGAGACAATTAAATGCTTTATTAGGCCTATTATGACTACTTTTGATTTGTTATGGGTGTATTTTGAATCGAATGTAGATCTAAAGTAATTAAATTTAAGTAAAGAAGTAGATTCTAGATTATATGTCTACCCAGCGGAGCCAGGTATTAGGCCTACTATTAGATCTTATTATTCTTATTATTACTTTTGACTTTGTCTTTTACTATTTGTATTTGTGAAGGTCGAGCATATTTGTTTTATTAATAGTCATCTTTTATAATTAAAATGAAGTTTATTATTTTACTGTCCTTACCTGAAACAAAGTATCGAAAACTGCATTTGATCAGATTCGGCTACTTTAACTCTAAACGCAAACAGTATTACTAACAGTATTTTTATTTAGAAATTTTGTCCACATATTTATTTATACGAAACTGTCAATAACAGTATAAGGATCTTCAATTCCTAAGAGTTCAAGTTTTTTAACGTATTTTTCCTTTTCCGCGGGTGCGGCTCTTTACATACAGTGAACGCGTCCAGCGCTGGTGAACACGTCCAGCGCTGGCGAACAGCTGATTGTGTTTACGTCTGATGTACACCACTGTGGCGGCGGGCGTAGGTATCACGAACGGACGTGACGTCATATGAAAGGACTCTATAAGTTAGTGGTCAACAACTAAAAGAATACTTTACAACTGTAGATATAATAGCTGTACAATAGCCTTTTTATAAAAACATTCATTTTATTTACATTTATTCAAGTTTAGTAGGTTAAGGCAATTCAGTATGCAAGAATAATAGTTATAAATAACTACATATGTGTTTGCTTTTTTTTATTGGAATGAAGCCATCACCAGCAATAGGCACTTCAATCAAATCTGGGACGTCGTGACACATTGGGCACATTTTGTTGCGAACTTCTGAACTTCTCATCCAGATGACTAGATTGTATCTGATTCCTTGATTTAAGGGTAGTGCTGAGTGGTGTTGGCGACCACAGTGAAGTAACCCAAAGCACATCTCATGACTGATCTTGACCATAGGCTCTGAAAATTCCTCATCAACTCCTGCAGCTGTTGACATTTTACGGACCTGCAATTGTCCCCCTTCATAGTCTTCATTGATGCTAATATTGGCAGTGATTTCTGAATTGTCAAAGTGTAGGCTTAGTCCCCTGTCACCATGAGCCTCATATTTTACAATAAATGCTCGTTAGGAATCAATGAGGCCCCCACCCCAGTGAGGAAACAGGATGCGAGTGATTGGTTGAAAAAATCCCTGGAAAGTGAAGTGATCAGACTATCTGATAAGCCCATCTCATCCAATGATATTCCACTAGCATTCATTGTATTTGGCCTTGTTTTTCTTCCGGGAAATTTTTCAAAATTAGATATTTCATCTATCAGTTTAAAACAAAATGCTTTGGTGAAAACTGGAAGCTTGTATACCATGGCTTCTGTTATATCCCCTCCCATGTGAAATATTAGAGACATGAGTTTTTCCTTTGACAGACCTGTGGCATCATGTGCAATGGTTACAAACCTTGGGTCAAGAAAACAGGGTTGAAGACTCCATATTTCAGGATTCGGTTTTTCATAATGTTGCTGATTATATTCATAATTTTCAAGAAATTGCTCATGGTATGTTGATCTGCGTTTTATTTCTTCGTGCACCTCTGACAAAGTATCTTGATACTGTTTATCTGTAGAACATCCATTTAAGCGAAGAAGTGATCTAAATTCCTTCTCAAACTGTTCATCACTTTCATAAGTTGTATGAATTCTAAACTTTTTAATGAAAATATTTTTATTCAAATAGCATCTACAAATGTATTCTGGCTGTCTAGAGAGTGTGGTCATTGCTATAAAGTTGCATCTGATAAGAAACACTAAGAAACATCCTTTAGTCCTATGACCGTTTACACAGTGCAGTACAGCTTTTTAATTTTTACTTTGTTTTTGTTTATAATCACGAGAAAATATCATATATATACATATATATATATATATATATATATATATATATATATATATATATATATATATATATATATATATATATATATATATATATATATATATATGCCTACACGTAGATGTAGACAAACATAATAGCGTATACTTCATTTGCTTCCTATTCTCGGCGAACTTTTACAACCTACATTTTTAGTCCCCATAAATTATTGGACAAATCGTCTGATAATAAAACGTCGATCACGGCTGTAAATAATATAACGGCTGCTGTAAACTGGCTTACAACCAGGCAGTGTTTCTTTTAGGCGTCTCTGGGTCGGGGGGGTGAATTCTGCCTACTTTAACTATTGTCTGCCCCCCATGCCCTGGATGTTTCATGTGCCACCCCCCTCCCCCCCTCCGTATGCGATTGGTGCTAAACTTTTTGTTGGTTCTCCTGGCGAACGATTCGTTTATATTTCCACAAGGGCTAGAGAAAGCAACACGAGACAGAGATTCTTCACAGTTCTGTCCAAATGGTAACATTTAAGATAGTAGACTAGCTCAAATAATGATTTTCATTTGATAAATTTTAAAGCGCTATGTGGTTCATGTGTTAAATGATATCTAACATTTGGTAGTACTATAACATTGGCATTACTTTAACATAACAATGACAGTTCTATAACACACAAATTGACATAATTATAACCCATAACATTAACCGCACTAATAACTCAAAGCACGCTTATGTCGATATGTTTATCTCAGTTCTTTGGTTACATCTCAATTACCGTACACAAATTACAGATCTGTATTATCCGATCTCCGGAATTCGACGTCCAGAAGAAACATAAGTTTATAAACATAAGTTTATAAACATAAGTTTATAAACATAAGTTTATAAACATAAGTTTATAAACATACGTTTATAGAAAAATGCAGTTTTTGCTTAGTTTTTCTATAATGTTTTGAAATAAAATCGACCAAAAGATCAACTGTATTTTAAACAGTGATTCGATTTACAGCAAACGTATTGACACATTGTAAATCATTGTGATGACACAAATTGTAAGCTTTCCTATGTCAATGAATCTTTGTGTTATTTTCATTTCCATTCTCTTAGTAAACAATGCAGGCTTCACATGGATATCTGTATCTGGCGATAATTGTACTAGTCACATGCTTCAAGGAAACAAATTCCATGACGTACAGGAAGGAGACCAGCGCTGCCATAATCCAGGCTGCAGGAGACTTGGGGCATCTGGTGCAAGAGGGACAGAGGGTAACTACAGGAGCTGATACTGACCCGTCAGTCAAAGGTGGGAGGGTAACTACAGGAGCTGATACTGACCTGTCAGTCAAAGGTGGGAGGGTAACTACAGGAGCTGATACTGACCCGTCAGTCAAAGGTGGGAGGGTAACTACAGGAGCTGATACTGACCTGTCCATCAAAGGTGGGAGGGTAACTACAGGAGCTGATACTGACCCGTCAGTCAAAGGTGGGAGGGTAACTACAGGAGCTGATACTGACCTGTCCATCAAAGGTGGGAGGGTAACTACAGGAGCTGAAACTGACCAAGGTGAAGGTCACGTATCTTTGATATCCTCGTGTCCAATCGTAGCTTCTGGCGATGACGTCATGGTGAACTGCAGCTTGAAAGACTTGTCCCAGATCCCATCTACGCTGCCACAGAACGCCTCAACACTTCTGCTGGACTTTAACCACATATCGAACATAGCCAACATGACGTTTGTTAACTTCACTCGCTTACACAACTTAACCATCAGGTACAACATAATGGAAACTTTCGAGATGGACGCTTTCAAAGGTCTAGACAATCTAAAAGTGCTTGATCTAGAATATAACCGGCTCAGAGGAAACATTCATTCAAATTTAAGTTATTTGAAAAGTTTAACCGAGTTACGGATTCGTCAGGAAGATGGCGGGCTAAACGTGACGTCACTGCTGGAGAACCTGTCTTGTCAGAACTTTCTGGAAACGTTGTCAGTCAACACGCACGGTGACACACTAACCTTTGACCCGAGGTTCATGAACTTCACAAAGTTAACGAGGCTGGAGTTCTCTGGAGCCGTGAAATACATCACCAACACCAGCTTCTTAAACGTCAAGCACATACGGGAGCTGTACATTTTTGACCTGGAACATATAAGCCACATCAGCCAAGGCGCGTTTGAGCCGTTGATAAAATTGGAGGTCTTACATCTTCACATCGTGCCATACGGCATCAGAAGAATTTTACGTCTGCTCTGGCCATTTGCAGGCAGGAACATGACCTCGATATACATGGAGAGAGTGTCCTACGGCATTACAACTAGTGACGGGACTTTACTACGGAGCGACAGCTACCTAGACAGCTCTATAACGAAATATCTGACTACTATCTGCCTCAAGCGGTTTTTGTTCCTCAACAACCAAATTTACATCGTCATAGGCGGCGCCTTGTGGAGTCGGCTGTGGGACTCATGTCTGGAGGAAATCTCTTTAACGAAAAATCCCCTTGTGGGCACGCGGATATTTTTCCTACGTTTGTTTTCCTCGGCGAATATAAGGACGCTACGTATTGATGATACATTCAGGGCGAAGTTTGATGAGAAATTTAATTGGCGAAACTATTTTCAAATGACACGAACAGAAACTAAAAGCAGAGAATTTGTCGAAATGGTTAACAACACTTCAATAATTCCTCAAGACTTTACATCAACAGAGCATTCTAGAAATTTATCCAACCAAATCAATTCTACCATTATCACCGATTTTAAAAAGTTATTTGGTCTAAATATTTTTATTTCGAAATCTCTCATCGAGTTGAATATAAGGAGGCTGATACAATCATACACGTTTAACATTGACTTTACGGTGGGCGGGGCTGAGGGTATAGAGTTAATGGACTTGTCTGACAGCGGACTGGCTAAATTTGAGCACCTTCTCTTCGGTTTCACGGGACTCAGGTTTCTAGATCTTTCCAGCAACGACTTGTCCGTTGTGTCTGAGAGATGGTTTGACACAATGCCGAGCCTGGAAACTTTGGTGCTGTCCAACTGTTTCCTAGACAACACCTTCATGTCTCTGAGAGGAAGCCGGCTGTTGGGCAATCTCAGACATTTACAGAACCTGGACTTGTCCTCAAACTCCTTGACCATGTTCGATGCAGGCATGTTTCGTCACAACAGCAATATAACGAGGCTGAGGATCTCCGACAACAGATTTAAAACTGTACCGTTTAGCTTACACTACACGTCACAGCTCAGATTTCTGGACATTTCGAACAACGTCATCACCAGCCTCGATGTGGAGACGAGACAAATCTTCGACCGTTGGGCTCAAAACCCGCAAGGTTTCAACCTCAACATCGGCGGCAACATTCTGTCTTGCACGTGCGAGAGTTTAAACTTCCTTATCTGGTTAAAGACTACCCACGTGCAGTTGGGCGAACGTCGTGTTTTCCCGTGTATGAACGAGGCTGGACAACTGACCAACACAAGCACCTACAACAACCTGGACGGCTTGTGGAGACATTGTTGGGGCGAATACTTTTTCTACCTGTCCCTGGTCCTACTTTGTATCATCGTAATTGGGTTTCTGTTAACTTTCGTCATCAGCAAAAAACTGACTTTTATAACGCATTTCATCATTCAAAATTTCGGCGGTTTTAAATTTAAAACAGCCGCTGACTACAAAATCGGTGTTTACATCGGTTACGCTGACAGAGATTACAGATTTGCCTGCCATCCGCTGCGAGAATTTATAGAAGACAAGCTGCACATGACGTCATTCCTACGTGACCGTGACCTTTTGCCCTGTCTAGACACCGCGCGCGGGATAGTTGAGGCCATCAACTCCAGCTGGCGAATCTTGCTGGTGTACAACCCGCAGTTCCTGCATGACGACGATTGGATGATGTTTACCTTCAGGGCTGCCGTCTACGCTCAGACACCAGCCAACCCTGCGCGGGTTGTCGTCCTGGTTGACGAGAGACACGTGTACAAGCTGCCCACAGAGCTGTTGAGTGCTGTCATGGAGGACAGCCTCATTGTGGTACAGGACTGGCAGATGACCTATGACCTCAAGCAGGCATTAAAGACTCGTCTAAGCCCAGCTTAAAGCAATCGCTCTACATTTGTCATACGCTGCTGCGTATGGTTGTGACACTCAAATAAACAATTTTAACATTTCTCTACATATATATCATATACTCATTTCTTTGTATATCTTTCTGCTACTGTAAATTTTTAAGGACGAAAAGTTTTAAAATATACACATGAAGGCTTAAATTCGGGATCTTGTTAAAAATTGGAACTATTTTTGTGGATCATTCAAAATTCTTAGAATACAGTAACCATGTTTGAAATAAAAAGTATCATATCGTTTCATATTTTTTGCTTTTGGTCGGTCGCATGCTCTTGTGTTTGCAAGTCGTTTGGTTAAGATATTAATTTGTTGTAAACAAAGGTTTTTACTAGGCACAACTATTTCTAAGCGGTGATAATAGGTGGAGTATGATAAAAAAAGCAATACACAAAACAACATCAAAGTGCCGAGCTTTTTCTCCGAGTACAGCAATCCCGTGATGTTTGACTCGAATCTCTTGGTACAAAGCAAACTGTCATCTACATGTAAACGGGTTCCCAGAAAGATGCGCAACGGTTGCACTTTTTTTCTGTTTGCGCTTTTTTCTGTGTGCGCTTTTTTTCTGTTTGCGCTTTTTTCTGTTTGCGCTTTTTCCCGTTGCGCATCTTTCTGGTCACCATGTAAACGTATAGGTTACTATTGCTGGAAAGATACCTTTCCTCTGACCACGTTGACCATATTATACAACAGTTTTTGTTTTAAAAAAAATGTATCTAATGTTCTACTTCAAGTTTTACGCATTAAAATCAATTTTGTCTTCAACCATTGGATCTAACAGTTGTGAGTAATATACATTTTACATTGACAGTAATATAGAATTTAACATTGACAGTATTTAACAAATACCATTGAGAAGGATGTACTATAAAAAGCTATAAAACCACAGATAATGTCATTTAATTCCTACCTTCCGCCTATACAGACTGTTAAAAAGACAAGTGGAGATTATTACAGCCACATTTTCATATTCCGGCGGGCCAATAAATTACTGTACTGGCAATAATAAAACGACGTGCCAATAAATTATTGTACTAGAAACTATAAAACGACGATACAACTTGGAATGGCATTTGGAGTATTGGGGACTACATATCTACTTCTTTAATATCCCTTTAATGTCCTCCTCATGGTCCTCTTTATGGTCCTCTTTTTGGTCCTCTACGTTGACTTATGAATTGTCTCCCACATTGTCCCTACACAGTGACAAACTTTCTCTATTCTGTCTCACATTTTCACAGAATGGTCCCATTTAAGGATGTGAGTCCTAAAATTTATCGTATTCTTATTGGTTTAGAGATTAAAAGTGCTCTATTAAGTAAAGTAGACCTGTAGGTCCATAGATATTTCTGTTGTTTCTGGCAGTGTAAAGAAACAAGATTTAGTGTAGGCCGTAAATCAATATTCACACTGAACCAACAACAGCGTATACAACTCGTAGAATATCCGACAACCAAGGCGCAGTAAACAAGTGGGGGGGCGGGGGGAATAGTCTGGACTTATTTACTTATCATTTTATCATTTACTTTATTTGCACTACTACAGGACTAGTTGTATATCACTTTATTATCTTTCTTACAATAGGCTACTTTTCATAGTTCTAGCTTAAAAATAGTTTCTAGATTTGTTATATATCTAACGAAAACTATCGTTTGAAAAAAAAATGGCGCTTCATGGTTTCAATTATTTATACACTCGTTAAATACGAATGTGTTGCGTGGTATGAAGCGTTTTTAGCATTTTGAATTCATTTATTTTTATGTATTGAGAGATTGAAATGAATGGAATAGTTTGAGCTGTGGTTAAATGTATACCACTGTTGAATTAACTAAGAATAAAATGGTTTGATGGTAAAGTTTTTAATTAAACAACTAATTAAAGCACACACAAAAAAAATCGAAACAACAGCCTTCTCACAACTTCCACCACTCCCCATATAGCAGAAAACAACAGAGAAAGATACTGATTAAAAAATTGTAATTTTAAAAATTAAAATAACACTAAATAATACGGTTGTTACACATTCAATTCATTCGAGAACTAAACAGACGAATAAAACTGATTCATTAATAAGATAGGCAGAGAAATTGATTCTTTATTTTTTTTCTACGCTGACTGTCCTATTATATACATACAAAATAATTTCTTAGTTAAAATTAATAGATTTTCCAATTAAACTCTCTTAGTAATTAAGTGCCACTGGCCGATGATTATTGAAACAAAACAAATGTTTTCACCTTGCAATTTTACTTTCCTGTAATATTTTGTTTCTAAGTTGAAATATATTTGCTTCTACTAATGCAGTCAATAGTTTAATGGAATTTTTTTTCTTACCAAAATAAGAGAATATTTTACCCCCCCCCCCATTAAGTAACTAAATCAACGGATCAAATTGTTATTTACATCAAGCCGCAATCGATTCTCCAACATATTGCTGATTTCTATACTGTAATTCAGCAACATGTATTCTGTTAAAGCTTGTACTAATGTCGTCACATTTTGAAATTTGATCGGTCTACACATTCTTTGTAAAGCTACTTCTTTCAAAACTCATTTTCTCTCCACATAAAGTAATATAACTATATGAATTCAATAATAAATTATTTTTATTTAAAAGTTACCAGTCTTACAGCTATAAAAAAATATACACAAATATCAAAAGGTGAAACAAATAGCTGCCAGAATAAAAACATAAGTAGAAAGGGGAGGTAACAATTAAAACTTAAGCTTAGCTTGGCCATCATTACAGTTCATTGTTAAATTAATGGAATATAATTATAGTCAATCGCTGATCGGGAATAATGAGGCAGTGTGTTTTAGTCGGAAGGGGTGTGGCTTAATTAAGAGTAAGGATGGTGCTGATTGGTATCACATCGAATCACTATTGTGTTTTAAATTTGCTAACTGAAAAGTATATATATATATATATATATATATATATATATATATATATATATATATATATATATATATATATATATATATAACTGAAATATATTGGCCTATCAACACGTTTTTGAAATACTAAACATTGAAATGAAATTTAAAAAAAAAAAAAAAAGACAACAGCAAGAAGACAACAGCAAGACTTTTGTAGAGATATATTAAGTGTGTTCATCACTTTAAAATATTTTCAATACATTTTATAAAAAAATATTTTAAGAAGTTTCATCAACACATTTGAATCTATCGAATTTATCTTTTTCAACGGCCATGCCAGGTTTGGGACAGCAAACAGCATCTGTTGTCTCGTCACACGGCCTGGCCTCAAACAAGTTCAGCAGACGACACTCCGTGCACCTGTTGCACTCGCCGTCCACAAAGTCCTGGAACTTGACCTCGACGCGGTAGTGGTCCTTGATGCAGCCAATCTCCGCGTCCTGTGTGGTGGAGCAATCTTTAAGCCTCACCTCGTACTGGTAGTGGTCCGGCTTTGAGCAGGGCACGCAGGCCGTGTTCACGTGGTTGCCGGTGCTCATGAAGGTGCCGGCAGGACAGGGGAGACAGGCCGGTTGACCGGTGTGGTCCGTGGAGAGGTATTGACCAGCCTGGCATACGTACGCTGCCTTTAGTGGAACAGCTGTGAGTAACAACAGCATGGCGAATGTGGAGGTTCTCGCCATCTTTGTTTTTTCTGTTTATTAGATTTCACTGCCAGAAAAAAAGTAAATTTCCTACATTAATTAAAAATACATAATTTATATATTCTGTCAGAGATTTAAAAAAACCCCATAAAAGTGAGCAGTAAATTACAAGCACCGTGGCTGAAACTATGGCCAGTGTTTCTTCCAGACAACAATTTCCGGGGGGGGGGGGGGCGGACACTGTCAAAAGTATATATTTTCTATATAAATTCCATTTCGTTTGAGGGGGGGGGGGGGGGCTGGAAGAAACTCTGACTATGGCATACACTCGTCAGGTGAGCTAAAGCTTGCCTTCTCTCGAGTACTCTTATAAGGGTCTTATAAAACCACCACAAGAAACCACCACATTTGTCATTTGTCCTGAGATCATTTGTCCTGAGATCATTTGTCCGTGAGATATTTTGTCTGAGATATTTTGTCTGAGATCATTTGTCCTGAGATCATTTGTCATGGAACCATATATATATATATATATATATATATATATATATATATATATATATATATATATATATATATATATATATATATAGGGTATATGTATAATGATGGAAAAAATTTGATCCCCCCCCATGAGACGATCCTGGCTCCGCCATCTTAGCTCTATATCATAAGGCTGTAGCTATTTTAGGTTTTACTACGTAGCTTTTAAAACTTTTAAAACTTAACATAAACAGCGACATATCTACCTGTAACATATCTACCTATAATATATATATATATATATACCTGTACAAGGGGTTAAAATACCTCTAGAACAGCCTACAACAAACATACCTGTAAAAGCTGAGTGATTGCAATAAGAATGTCACTACACTGTTTAATTTTCTCATGAAAACTTCAGTGTTTCTGTTTGGTATTTTCTAGTAAAATATAAAATTGGAAATTTCCCATATGAAACCGTATATTGTTAAAAATAATTTAAATTGTTTTTCCTATAACCACAAAAAAACTCCAATACTTTATATTAAAATGTAATTAAAAAAAGCAATACATTTTATTTAACAAAACTGTTTAATTTACAATTTATGAGAAATTGTTCGAATATTGTTTTGCATCTAGATCTAGATCTAGGCCTACTCTTTACAAAACGTCATAAATTATGTTCGGGAAAACCCAGTTACGGTTAGGATTTTTTCGATCGATTACTTAGGCTATATTTAGTTGTTTTGGAAAGGTGTTGTTTGTTTAAAGATATTCCGCATTTTAGCAAACGTTTTAATCCACCAGATGAAGCTTAGGGATTTTATAATAACACAAAGTGGAATCTGGTATACAAATCAAAGACTGTTTAACAATAATCTACGACAAACACAATATAAAAGTGAAAATAAGGGCTCTTATGTTTTAAACAAAACATAATCAGATTACAAGGTTTATCTGATGACGACATATCATTTCGCTAGCTTTTTAAAGTTTCTAAATTTTAACTGCATGAATTTTCAAGATTTTATTCATACACTTGAATATAACGAATTTTAAAGAAACACGAATGTATAAAAAGCGAATGCGAACAAACAGGAAAAAATTGGACAATGTTAAAGTATTTCTTTATCTTTTTCTCCAAGATGGGTTGCTGTCCCCTGCAATAGATCCTCATCTGCCAGGGGATTCGAACTCGGGACCTTTCAGTATAGCTGCCATGAGCTTCATATTGTTGATGAGGGTCGTCAAGCCTATCTACAAGGCCAGCCCATGACGATTATATTTGGAGGGCAGTGGCGTTGCCAGGCTCGTCTCAAGGGGGGGGGGGGGGGTTCCAATTTTTACCCGGGGACAAACTTTCGATTTGCACCCCCATCCCCCCTCAAACTTTCGATTTGCACCCCCCTCATACTTTATATATATATACATATATATATATATATATATATATATATATATATATATATATATATATATATATATATATATACCGAGGGGTCTATGGGGGGGGGGGGGGGGTTATGACCCCCCTAACCCCCCTGCCTACGCCACTGTTGGAGGGTACCGTGTTTGATTGTTTTCAAAATTAAAATGAAATAGTTACACAACAGAAGTTCAACACATTGTTTGAAAATAATTTAACGATTTAATCACACAAGGTAAAAAAAATAAAATGGTAAAAGCATTGCACATACCAGTGGCGTAGCGAGGTCGGGTGTCACCCGGTGCGGCACTTAATGGTGTCACCCCCAGAGGCGTAACCCCGGGGACAAACTTTCAATTTTCTATTTGCAGCCCCCCCTCAAACTTTCGACTTGCACCCCCCACAAACTTTCGATTTGCACCCCCCCCCCCATCAAACTTTCGATTTGCATCCCTCCCCCTCAATCTTTCGATTTGCACCCTCCTAAAACTTTTGATGTAAGTGGAATTATCATTTTTCTCTATATATTTTGCTATTTTTTGCCTTGGTGTCACCCCCCTAAATGGTGTCACCCGGAGCGGCCCGCAACCCCCGCCCCCCCCCCCCCCTACGCATGTGGCACATACTATATATAATTGGTGTAACTGTTTGATAAGATTAATTACACACACACGCACGCACACACACCCATACATACACACAATCATAAACACACAAACACTTCCTTTAACTAATTTTTTTTGACCAAGTTGAGTTTTTTTTATAACTGGATAATAAATAATAATAAAAAACCCAATGTTTTACTCGATCATTTTCCAAATTTTCCAAACATTTTTCAAAATCTGTTCTAAAAATGGCGTCACAGTTACATACATTATTTACACAGGTCATAAAGCCACGCAATGTTCAACATATGGCAGACGTGAACACATTCACCCCAGCTCACAGCGGTACATAAGTGTCGTGTTGACGTCAGCAGTACACATGTGTCGTGTTGACGTCAGTAGCGACACCTGGCGGGGTACAGCACTCACTGTCCGAGAACTGACCACAGGGTGTGGCCTCTGTTAACCCCAGGGCCGGGCAGTCCATGCATCTCAGACACTCCTGGTACTGAAGGTCACCGTACTGTGACCTTGACATGAAGTAACCCACGTGACAGCCCAGCTCCGCGTCATGCGTAGAGTTGCACATGCGCAGTAGCGTCTGGTGTTCACGAACATCCGGTACGGTGCAGCGTGCACACGCCTCGTTGGTGTGGTCAGTGTCCGGCATGTACATGTCGTCTGGACATGGCACGCACTGGAGAGGCTTTTGGTCTCGGGCTAGCAGGTAGTGACCACTCGGGCAAGCAGTAGTTGGAGGAGACTGGCCAGGAAAAACTACCAATAAACCAACCAAGCTTGTTACTATTGAAAAAATGGCTGCAGTAGTTGTCCAAAACATCCGTTCACTCTCCCGTCTCCCCACAGTCTGGAAATAAAACACTTATGTTAAATAAAATCATATGTTATTAAGTGCTAACGTCAGTACACAGTGTAACTAATTGTTATGTATTTATTAACGGGGTGGTAAAATCTGTCAGATTAATTTGTCACGTGATTTGCTTATCGATTATTGTGGTTCATATTAATCGATACCGGATCAGTCTATGGGTAAATTCCGAACAAAATCTATATTTATTTATAGACATGTCTCAAGCAGGCATTCATCAATGTCAAGGTGACTAACTAGACTGATACTATCGTACTGTTAATGCGATATGTATACTGTATTGATCAGAGTTTCTTTCAGGCATCTTTTCGGGAGGGGGGGGGGGGGTCAGTGCTCCGAAAAACGTTCAGCGCCCCCATCCCTTTTGCCACCCCCCCGAACGAAAAAGAATAAAATAAATTTTATATGGAAGATACATTCTTAATGTATTGGAATAGCTGTGGGTGGGGTGTTATGCGTTATGTGTAAAGGGATACTTAACATAAACACCTACATATAATTCTTCGCATACGTTAAAATAGTTCATAATGATTACAAAAGCTGTAGAAAAAAAATTACGGTTTATGTCTACTCAATATAAGCACCAAACTTAGCAGTGCAAAACTTTAGAAGCTGTAAAAACTTTCGCAACTTTAGAAGCTGTAAAAACTTTCGCAACTTTAGAAGCTGTAAAAACTTTCGCAACTTTAGAAGCTGTAAACGAACTTGCTTAAAACATCAAAAAAACACAAACCTGTTTCATTGTGAGAGATGGCTCCTGATGGTCTATGTTGTTACTGAAGTTCTGGTGTGCTGGTTTCTGTGAGAGATGGCTCCTGATGGTCTATGTTGTTACTGAAGTTCTGGTGTGCTGGTTGCTGTGAGAGATGGCTCCTGATGGTCTATGTTGTTACTGAAGTTCTGGTGTGCTGGTTTCTGTGAGAGATGGCTCCTGATGGTCTATGTTGTTACTGAAGTTCTGGTGTGCTGGTTGCTGTGTGACTGTCCAGAATCTAACTTTAGTTAGGCTGAGAGGGGTTATATAAGGACGTGAGTCTTGCGAGGTTTACCCATACCTACTTTCATTTTCGATCGTGACGTCAGAGCAGGTTAACCTGTTGCTGTTGACGCCCGGCTTAACCTTTGTTGACGCTAGAGTTAACCAGCTAGTATTTACGTGGAGGGTTACTTGGCTATTGAGTCGCCAAAATAACCCATCTCCGTGTCGGGTTCAGGAAGTAATCAGAAGTAAAACATACGTAGAATAAAAACTTTATTATAATGTAATTTTAAATACACAGGAGACAAAAATAAATAAAACAAACCTGATTTCTTTAGTAAAAGCACTAGTCCCTAAAACACGAAAGACATTTCATAAGCGACCAATGTTTTACAAAATAATAGTAGTGTGTGACTCTTAGTGAGGGAGAATGGATTCATTGTTTGGGAGTCATGGTGTTGGAGTCATGGTGTTGGAGTCATAGTGTGGGAGGTGATGGTGGGGGAGTCATGGTGTAGGGGTGATGGTGTGGGAGGTGATGGTGGGGGATTCATTGTGGGGAGTCATTGACATGCTTTGAACTTTTGTGAAGCTGATACATTTGTTATCGGTTGAAGGATGCTTCAGGCTATAATTCTCTCTGCTGTCATCCAGCTAACGCCAGCTATTTGTCTGATCACCCCATTGATTACTGGTTTTATTAACACAAAAGCATACTTTGTATACAGTCGTTACAGGTGATATTAGATACAGTTTAGCTGTGAATAAAGTCATGTAATACGTGGTAAAATTTTATTGATTCTATAGACTGTATGACAGACGTTTACATTTCTTAGAAATTCACTATGCCGTAAGCTACACTTTTAGACAGTAGTTGAACACATTCAATGATTTTTGGGATATATATTATTTAACACAGTTTTTTTAACAGCTGTCTTTTATAAATTTTTCACAACTTAGGTAAGTTTACAAAACAATTTAAGAATGCGTCACAAAAGAACTTCGCCCGATTGTTAATCTCTTATAATTTAAATTAAGTATGCTAACAAAAGATTATCACCCAGAAAGGTCCGTTTACTTGCAGCCATATTGAGCCACTTAAAAGACCAGCTATATAGGCTACTGTGTCCAGTACTTGAATTTTCGAACAGTTTGTTTGGCCGATGATTCGAGGTCCGGAGTTCCCAACTTAAGTACGGTCAGTTATTGACGGAAATATCGGGATTTAAATACACATTGTATTATTTTTTAAATAAAGCAATAACGTGTAAATCTTTAATTCATTACTTTACAAATCGTAAACAGTAATAGAAATCAATTTTAGCAGTATTAGTGCAAATACATTAATAAAAAAGTTCTAAACCTATAGTTTTTTTTTTTACATTTATCTATTTGACGTTTGTAAAACAGAGACAACTATGTGCTGAACGATAATTTACTCACCATGATGCTGACGTCAGAAAGTGTGCTTCAAACTGTGTGCCTGTGTGCTTATGTTGGTATCATTTCTGGTGCTGGAATTACAGAGTTTTTCTGTGGTGCTGGTCAGTTTATGAACACAGTCATCAGGACATGTGAGAAATGTCCTGCAGGACATTACATGTCCGACCACAAGCACCAGAACCTTGACTGTAAACCCTGCAGTGAAGCGAGTTCACACAGACAAGAAGTTGTTGTTGAGAGTTGTTCGCCCCTGACTGACGCAGTGATAGGGTGCGCTGATGGCTACTACAAGAGGGCATTGACCTCGTCCAAGACTCATCATGACTTTGATTGTAACTTCTGCTCTGACTGTGGCAAGCAGCAGATGCATGAAGTCAGGTCATGTGACCGCCTGAATGACGCCGTCTGCTGTCCACACCCTGACATGAGAGCAGTTTGGACAGGGTCAAGGTGGGATTGTGACCCCCCTGGCGCAGACGATACATTGCGTGTTGAGTGCATTTTTTTATACGTGACGTCATATTTTCAAAACTATACTTTTTCTATGCATTTAAATAATTTTAAATGTTTTCTTTTTACACGCAACTTTGACTCAGTCATATAATGAATTAAACCATGATATTTTTAAAATTCAGACAGCAGCGTTTGATGATAGTTAAGAAACTTGTGGGCCTACTTATTTCGTAACATATCAAAAAATGATTTAATATATATTAATACAAAGTAATTTACAGTACAGCGCAGTAAATAAAAAAAATGCCTTAGAACATCTTTGAAGATAGGTTTTTATTATCTGTGAGGCATTAATCAGACTGTCTTCTATCACAAAGTTCGCCAGCACAAGACATTGATCGATCACACACCAGAATTACGTCAAGTGCCCAGCCTCGATGCGGCCTCAATACATTTCTGAAAGTTTCAGACAATGGTGCCCGCTGTATGCCCTGCCCTGAGGGCACTTACATCCACCAGGACCAGCATGCCCTGGGGGTGTGTCCCAGAGATCCTATGGGTCAAACTGTTTGCATATTTATGGCCAGTTTATGTTATTTTTGTCTATCGGTTTTATCAGTTCATGAGAGGATGATTCTTTCCCACTTATTGAACTTGATATAGGTTTTTGATATTCAACAGTTAATTATTTAATTAGGGATCATGGCTGAATATGTAAAGATATTATTACCTGAAAAAGTGTGTTAAAATACTGCAGTACTAACTAATGAATTGAATTTAAAAGTTCCTTTTCAGTTAAGTAAATAAACCGGGAGTGATCTCCCCTAAACTTTCTCGAATATCTATCTATATATATAATTCTCTTCTGGGAGACGTTAGGAAACAAGTTGCAAGCGCGCCTTGCAGTCCCCTCTCTTCCTCTCTATCACTACCACCCCCCACCCCCCCCCCCCCCCCACATGGTCTGATGAGCTGTGGTTCACTCTAAATGTTTACATTCGTGGAGCCGGGTTTAGTGACGGCTATTAGGGGAAGATAATTTAGTTTAAAACGATTTTAAAGTTTGAGGAGGTAACTAAGAGAAGGTTGCTTTCACGGGGGGGGGGAGGGGGGGGGGGGGTATAGGGTAGGGGTTGGGGGAAAGGGGGGGGGTAGTGTTTTAAAGCAAATATTTTCAGTGGCAGCATTGGTACTGTCGAATTCACAAATTATGAATTACTGAAAAGTAGAAAATAAAACAACTAAATAGCGCGGGGTCGGCTCGTTCTAATATAAAATTACGAGGGATGGCAACTCAGGACATAGATCCATTTTAAATTACTTAAACTTTTTATAATAGAATAGAATCTCGTAAAAAAATAGAATTGCACACGAAGTGAAAAGTTTCCCTTTCAAACCTGACGGTCTATGGGGCAAGTGAAGTAGAGTTCACTTGTTTCTGTGACCTCGGCATATGAAGAGATATTGTGGTCAGCACTATGCCCAGCCGCCTTTACTTTCCCTAACGTGAGTTAGGTACTCATCAGAGTTGGGTGGACTCAGGGACGGTCTACTGACTTGAACTCGGATTCGAACTCGAGACTAACGGGTTAGCAGCCCAGCTCTCTACCGCTAGACCACTCCGTCCCACACCAATTGAATGCCTAATAAAATGTGTATAAAAATGCGGGATATTATTAGTACTTTATAAATTTACATGCGTTTTTTGAGAAATTGGAAATAGCGTAAATTAGTACTTCCGTTCAACGGAAATAACTCAAAATTTGACAGAAGGTAGAGAATTAGATCTTTTACTTACGTGTGAGATTTCATACATCTATCTAAAATAGTACGCAACTTATAGGCTTTTGAGAAATTCAAAGTAGAAAAAGTACCACTTCCGATTATCGGAAATCGCTCAAAAGTTGATCAGGATCTACAATTTTGATAAAATACTTTTATATGAAATTTCATCAACCTAGCTGTAACGGTACTCAAGTTATCGTGTTTACACACAGAACACACAGCCATACGGACAGATTTGCAAAGTCCAGTTTTTACGACTCGATAACGCATAATTCGCCAAAACGTTTATATATTTGTATTTATTTTTTTCCTGATTAAAAGAAGTCCTCTATACTCCGGATGTGATGAAGGACTGAGGAGTAAAACGGTGAAAACTGTCAAAATTTCATGTTATTTTTGTGCACGATTACAATACTTATATACGAGAAAGTAAAAAAGTAAATGGCATAAGGGGAACCACTCCTGTTTGAATTCGGAATAGTTCGCTCGCAGATGGGTTTGTGTCCTCAGCTATCGAGCCTTATTTTCCCGAGGGTTCGAACTCGTGGCTTTCACCTCTCAACCATCAGAAAACTTCAGTATGTCATAACATGGGAGGTTGATATTCCTATCAGAAATAGCTCATGGGATTTTGAATATACGATTAAGGAAGTGATTTTATGCATGACCAATATCTTGATATGCTCATCACACTGGTGTATGTTGATAAGAGTATAATGTCATCAGCATAAGCGTACGTAGTTTGTATGTGTGTTAAGAAGTTTTGGTTTGGGTTATAGTATATCTAGTTTGTGCTTGTATGTGAAGTTGAGTCCTTTGCACCCAGTGTACTCACGGCTAACCAAACGTCAAGTGTATACGCTTGTGAGTGATGCTACATGTGCTCAAGGACAATATCTTAAAGACAGATACACAGTGATTGCCGATTGATAGCAAAAAAAGTAAACATATTAAGTCACACACACGCATACACACAGATAGACACACAGACACACAAACACTCGCACAGAGAGAAAACTGTTTATGAATCGTCAAGGGGTGTAATCACGAAAATGGTAATCAATAACTCTTAAGGTGAGTTATGTTTCCTTGAAAGTACTAATCCGACAATTAATGTGACATTCAATATAACACTTAACTGTGGAATTTATTATGACATTTGTCATGTCTTTAAAATATAGGTAAGACAATATTCCCCTAGAACATATTTTACCCATGATGACATTATATTTGAAAACGCGTTGCAAAATTTTTTAAATGACAAAAGTTACTGAAGTTGCTTAGTGTTTATTAAGAAATAAAGCAATAATGTAAGTCAATACAACAAGTCCAATAACAATGAGATAATCACACAACGTGTAATTGTTGAGTAGCTATGTAGCCTTAGAGATATGAAAACGAAATCCTTAATTCTTAGTTGATGATTGGCTCATCTGTACCTATTGGAAATAAATATAAAATGTAACCAGTAAATTATGTATATTTATGTATATATATATATATATATATATATATATATATATATATATATATATATATATATATATATATATATATATATGTGTGTGTGTGTGTGTGTTTGTGTGTGTTTTCCCTTCCCATGCGATTGTCGATTGCGTTTTGACCAAAAAACGTTCTAAGTAAAAATACGAATTTTAATATTGTTAATTTGTTTACACTATTTGTATTCCGGCACATATTTTCTTCAATTTAAGCAAAGTTTAATTTTTCAATTGCTTTACATTTTCTACATTAAAATTGGAGTGCAAAATCTGTTGACCTTAATTTGATGAAGATATTTGAAAATTTAAAACAATTATTTAATTATTTTTTTTTAGATCACTTACTAATTGTGTATATTCAAATAAAATGCTTCAATCTAACAGTAAATAGATTTCCAGGATTGCTTGTTGTAAATAAAGTATTGCTGACATTTTACTCAACACGTTGTACATTTTGTACACATGTCATAATTTGCATAATACTTGACCGATGGAGATGACGTTTAGTATAAGATGTCAGGACACTCACAATTTTATTTTTGATACATGGGATAATGTTTTGGACACGTATATATTAATTCTGGATATTCACAATTATTTATATATTTGCAATGTAAATTAGACTGTATATTCTATTTTACAACTAAATAATTGTCTAGATATTTGACATCAGCGATTTCTATTTTTGAAACTAACACCAACCTTACGATGAGGGTGACACTTAAATCAAAACTGTACAAACCCACTAGAACTTAAAGCATGTGAATTCTAAACTTGCTGTCGGCCGGTAGTGCTAATTAACATTAGCTAAATACACTAAATACATTCCAAAAACTTCGTTATGAGTCTCAGAGGACACTTTGAAGTTAAAAAGGACTAAGAACACATCAAGCTGGAACAAAAAACACAGAAGGTTAACCGCTAATGGTGTCAAAGTTGTAAAGTAATCTTACATGCATCGTGCGAGAGTTCTAGAGCAGCGTCTTCCGTCTGACCATCTCTGTAGTTGACCAGACACCTGTACCTGGTCATGTCGCCACAGGTGGGGTACAGGAAATAGTCCATGTGCACCAGACTTGTGCAGTGGGCGGGGGTTTTGACCTTCAAGATGGCGCCGTCACTGACTCTCAAGAGAGTGATGTCCCTTGGGTACCCAGCTACAGCGCATGTCAGAATGATGGAAAACTCGTCAGTTTCGGTAATTTCCTTGTGAGTCAAGTTCACTTGCTTGGTGTATGCTTGCAAAAAAAAAACAAACAAAAAAACACTCATATAAACATATTTATGTTCAAATACAATGTTTTGAAATGAGTTTTGTCTTATTGATACAAAAAGTACCAATAATTAAACAAACCTTTTCGAATGACTGAAATATACCTATTCGTTTTAAATCGTATTACACCTTATAGAGACGTCGTTTAAATACCAATAAATTTGAAGACGTGGATAGAAAAGCTGTAAACAAAAAAAAAAAAAACTTTTCTACAATAATTGTTTCAAACAACGTATGTATTGACAGCGGACTGACACGGAAACTTTGTATAAACAAGCACAAGTTGGAATAATTCAATTTTTTAATAACATTCAGACAATTGCTTCCATAATATCAAATTATCAACTATTTTACATTGTACTTCCCCCCCCTCTCCAGTACTGCATTTAGTACATAGTACGTTTCATAATGGCACTACTAAACGTATAGTTGGTAAATGCTGAGCCCATTTAAATGACACCAATCATTTATTTGGTTGAGAGGTCCTAGCATAAAGATCTAACACTCGTAGAACAGATGAAGTGGAGTTTATCTATTTCTAAACGAAGCAAATAAAGACATTCAAATTAACAATAACTTTGGTAAGCAAAAACTGAAACAATGTAATGCCGAATGAAACCAAACGAAGTATGCAGTTGCCAGCAGTTTAAAATGTAAACATACCTTTCTCATCAGCACACACGTGACCGGAAGTACAGTTGACGAGTCGCGACCCCAGGGGACAACAAAGCGCGTCAGTGACAGGTCCGCATGGGCGGGCGTCGTACTCCACCCCAGCCCGACACGACGTGCACCTGTCGCAGTCGCAGACGTCAGGTGCCCCACAGGTCCTGTAGTATCCCGTCCTACAGCCCAGCTCTACGTCAGCGAATCTGCTGCAGTTACTGATGACGTACTCGTGGTCATACCTGCAGGGTGACAGGCAGATAATGGTGACATACTGCAGGCTTACCTGTAGGGTAACAGGCAGTTAATGGTGATATACTGCAGGCTTACCTGTAGGGTAACAGGCAGTTAATGGTGACATACTGCAGGCTTACCTGCAGGGTAACAGGCAGTTAATGGTGACATACTGCAGGCTTACCTGTAGGGTGACAGGCAGTTAATAGTGACATACTACAGGCATACCTGCAGGGTGACAGGCAGTTAATGGTGACATACTGCAGGGATACCTGCAGGGTAACAGGCAGTTAATGGTGACACACTGCAGGGATACCTGCAGGGTAACAGGCAGGTGACATACTCGAGATCATCCTCACATTCATACCTGTTAGGTGACAATAATTTCAAGCTCGCACGATAGCGGTCATACCTTCAGGGTAAAAGACATTTCTTATGGCCATACCTCATACCACTTACAGCGCTAGCGGTCTTACCTGTTAAGTGAGGAACAGTTCCTACAGTCCTACCTATGATGAACAGTTCCTACAGTCCTACCTGTGAGGAACAGTTCCTACAGTCCTACCTGTGAGGAACAGTTCCTACAGTCCTACCTGTGAGGAACAGTTCCTACAGTCCTACCTGTGAGGAACAGTTCCTACAGTCCTACCTGTGAGGAACAGTTCCTACAGTCCTACCTGTGAGGAACAGTTCCTGTAGTCCTACCTGTGAGGAACAGTTCCTACAGTCCTACCTGTTAGGTGAAGAACAGTTCCTACAGTCCTACCTGTGAGGAACAGTTCCTACAGTCCTACCTGTGAGGAACAGTTCCTACAGTCCTACCTGTGAGGAACAGTTCCTACAGTCCTACCTGTTAGGTGAAGAACAGTTCCTACAGTCCTACCTGTGAGGTGAGGAACAGTTCCTACAGTCCTACCTGTGAGGAACAGTTCCTACAGTCCTACCTGTGAGGAACAGTTCCTACAGTCCTACCTGTGAGGAACAGTTCCTACAGTCCTACCTGTGAGGAACAGTTCCTACAGTCCTACCTGTGAGGAACAGTTCCTACAGTCCTACCTGTGAGGAACAGTTCCTACAGTCCTACCTGTGAGGAACAGTTCCTACAGTCCTACCTGTGAGGAACAGTTCCTACAGTCCTACCTGTTAGGTGAAGAACAGTTCCTACAGTCCTACCTGTGAGGAACAGTTCCTACAGTCCTACCTGTGAGGAACAGTTCCTACAGTCCTACCTGTGAGGAACAGTTCCTACAGTCCTACCTGTGAGGAACAGTTCCTGTAGTCCTACCTGTGAGGAACAGTTCCTACAGTCCTACCTGTGAGGAACAGTTCCTGTAGTCCTACCTGTGAGGAACAGTTCCTACAGTCCTACCTGTGAGGAACAGTTCCTACAGTCCTACCTGTGAGGAACAGTTTCTACAGTCCTACCTGTGAGGAACAGTTCCTACAGTCCTACCTGTGAGGAACAGTTCCTACAGTCCTACCTGTGAGGAACAGTTCCTGTAGTCCTACCTGTGAGGAACAGTTCTTACAGTCCTACCTGTGAGGAACAGTTCCTGTAGTCCTACCTGTGAGGAACAGTTCCTACAGTCCTACCTGTGAGGAACAGTTCCTACAGTCCTACCTGTTAGGAACAGTTCCTACAGTCCTACCTGTGAGGAACAGTTCCTACAGTCCTACCTGTGAGGAACAGTTCCTACAGTCCTACCTGTGAGGAACAGTTCCTGTAGTCCTACCTGTGAGGAACAGTTCCTACAGTCCTACCTGTGAGGAACAGTTCCTACAGTCCTACCTGTTAGGAACAGTTCCTACAGTCCTACCTGTGAGGAACAGTTCCTACAGTCCTACCTGTGAGGAACAGTTCCTATAGTCCTACCTGTGAGGAACAGTTCCTACAGTCCTACCTGTGAGGAACAGTTCCTACAGTCCTACCTGTGAGGAACAGTTCCTACAGCCCTACCTGTGAGGAACAGTTCCTACAGTCCTACCTGTTAGGTGAGGAACAGTTCCTACATTCTGTGTTCTGATGGTCGACCAAGTCCTGGAACATTCCATCCTGGCACGGTCTGCACGTGGTGTTGTCCAGGTACTCACCTTGACCACACGCCTCACACCTGGGGAGCACGGCTAGGCAGGTGAGAGCCAACATAACGTGGTGATGTACCTGGAATGTTTTAAATATTACAATAGGGGGAAGCACAGGATATGTCTGTAGTGATGACCACTAAGTCCCTTTAGATACAATGACAGTAAAACAGATGGGCTCTACTTCACCTAACACTACAACTTACTCTTCCTTACATACAGTAGGTAGAGCCCTTTAAGTTTTTAGTTCTGAACTTGCAACATTACGTCTTAATCCAGCTTAACTTAGTTTAAATGTTAGCTTAAATTTCATTTTATTTCCCTTGACCCCCCTCCCCTCCCCTGTATGTAACTCCATCTCTTCTATTGCTACACGGCTCTCTAGACACAGTCGTGTTATGGCTCGACTACACTACTGACGGCTGCTCTACACTACATGTAGATGTAGACACTGTCGTCCACTAGCAAGCAAGAACGTGTCCGGACGTCAGTTCTAGAACCCAGTAAGCCTCAACCTCCTCCACCTGTAGCAGAGATCTCCTGAACGGGAAAATTAACGAAAGGTCTACAGATACCAGCAGTCTACGGGCTTGTAGACACGTATGGCAACGGCATAAAAACAAAAATTAACACTAAAATACTACTTTGATGTATATACTTTCAACATGACAATCATGGCTTCTAACTAGATTCTGTAACATTAAAATACGTTCTCGAATTCCCCACCTCAAATTAAAATCCCATCTCACAAGATCAGCAAACATCTAGAGATAAAAGCTACTCAATTGTTTATAACTGCCGCAGTGGATAACGTTATAGTGTCTGTTAGTAGCAACTGACTCGATGACAGCCAAAGTTGCGACAACGTTCACACGTGTCTAAGTTGTTGTGGCTGAGCGCTAAGTCAAAGAATTCAGATAATTAAATGAATCTAAGAATAAGATCTTACATATTTTTGTGTGGTCTTACCATAATTGTGGCCTTTAGATGACTAGAGTAGCCACTGCTATTGCTCTTCTTGGAGACGTTACATACAATTCTTAAAACCAACACACTATATGATTAATTAATGATCTGTTATTTTAAATTGTAACTTCTACATCGAGGATGATTAATTCAACTTCCTGCTTACGATGTACGAGCCGGCCCGCGGCATAACATACGCCGCTATTTAGTTGTTTCTAATTTTCAATAATTCATAATTTGTGAATTCGACAGTACCAACGCTGACACTGAAAATATTTCTTTAAAACACTATAAGTAGCTCGTTAAGGACCATAACCCCCCCCTTCCTTCCCCCCCCCTCCCCCCCCTACGTTTAAAATCGTTGGCTCTGCTTGTAAACATTTAGAGTGAACACAGCTCACTAAAACCATGTAGGGGTGGGGAGGTAGGGAGAGCGTTTGCAGCTTGTTTTCTAACGGCTCGAAGAGGAGAATTATATATATAGATTTGATTTGAATCTTAAGTGTGAAATGTAGGTCAAGGGTAAACTCTGGTTAACCGTCGCTACAAATTGATCTTAAAATGGTTTTTATAAGTCAAGGTCGCATAACGGTAACGTTTCAACTTTGTGCAACATCTAAGCAAGAGCAGGAAATAAACACTTTCCAATTAGTCGGACCACTTTCTCATTGGCCGTACAAGCTATATGTAGGTAATACAGTCTCTACCGATGCATTAATTAATAATAGGAACTTGAGGTAGCATTAGGGTGATCTGTAAAATATTTCACCAAATAGGAATCGTGATATTTTTATTTGGCACAAAGTTAATATATTTTTGTACACAATCAATATCGTACTTAACTCTTCATCACACTTATATACACCAACATTCCTCTTATTAACTTAGCATTTCTAGACACCCCCCCCCCAATGTAACGACGACATATTTTTAATAACAAGGTTCCAATGAAAAAAAAAGGTAATCTTTCAATTCAAATTACAAACTTGTTGATACAAAAAAAAAGTGAAGGTATTTTTTAATACATTTATTAACAAAAAAATTGAATGGATAAAAAACTGTAATGCTAGAAAATAAAATCTCTTGTTACATCAGCTGGAGTAGAGATAATTGTAAAATGTTAGGAATTTAAAATAATCAAGACCAGCCACTGTACACAACGAGCACTTTCTCACTAATAAAAACACGAGTATTATCACATCAAGGATGTTATCAAGGATGACTGACATCGTATACTCTCTACCCCCTCCACCCCCCCCACACACACACACACTAGTGTAAAATGCCACGTGCTGGATTAAAGTCAAAATCTATATATATAATTCTCTTCTTCGAGCCGTTAGAAAACAAGCTGCAAACGCTCTCCCTACCTCCCCACCCCTACATGGTTTTAGTGAGCTGTGTTCACTCTAAATGTTTACAAGCAGAGCCAACGGTTTTAAACGTAGGGGGGGGGGGAGGGGGGGGGGGGTTATGGTCCTTAACGAGCTACTTATAGTGTTTTAAAGAAATATTTTCAGTGTCAGCGTTGGTACTGTCGAATTCACAAATTATGAATTATTGAAAATTAGAAACAACTAAATAGCGGCGTATGTTATGCCGCGGGCCGGCTCGTATACTTTATGACTCTAAGCATTTAAGATAAAAACATGTATGACCTAAGAATGACCTGAGGCGTTCATTAAAAAACACAGGTTAAAGGTAGTTAGCTAAAGGGAAATGACCATCTGACCTTTCACAGTGTAGCATACATTATTCCATTTTTTATGTTCGATATCATTGTACCTGAGAACTGGTCGATAAACATGAGTAATCTACAAATCATTTGAATTCTGCTAGTTTAAAACATATCAGATGCCACCGGATCGGGGAGACGTTCCGCTGTGCACTTAACAGAGTGACCTACTTATTGCAGCTTATCAAAGGGTGTCATTTTTCAAGAAAAATAAACAGATCCTAGATATGTTCCCAAGGTCGTTTGTGTTTACCAGGTGGATGAAGTCAAGCGGAACGGTTTCAAGGAAACAACTGCTGTATTTTTTGTGTTGATTTTCTCCAAAACTAGCCTAGAGTCTAGTGCTGAACATAGACGTCGCTTGTTTAGTTGTTGTGATAGCCTAGAGTCTAGACAGTGCAGAACGTATAAGTCGCTTGTTTAGTTGTTGTGATAGCCTAGAGTCTAGACAGTGCAGAACGTATAAGTCGCTTGTTTAGTTGTTGTGATAGCCTAGAGTCTAGACGAGAACTTAGACGTCGCTTATTTAGTTGTTGTGATTTACGTTCACCAAGATGGTAAGTTTTGATTCTCTAAACACAATTTGCAGGAATTAATGAAATAAATTTGTGTTTTAGCTTTTATAAAATGTCTGTTTAATGTTGTGTTCTGGTTCGAGTAAAGAAAGGTCTAAAGATACAATTTAGAAACATTTAAATTAAAGATTTATGTCTAGTTTTGTTACATAAAGTTTTCAAATTCTAAGAAACAAAACAAACAACAGAACCTAAAAACCTCATAAATCTAATTAATTTTAAATTGTTATATTTTAAATTGTGTGTGTATGTGGGAAGGGGGTGTATCAGAACATTGTGACATAATTTTAGTGGAGGGGAATCTGGTGTTTGATTAGAACGAGTGACGAAGTGCAGACAGATCTAAACAAAAACATGAATTCTATTTGAGCGACACAGAATGACGAAAACGCTTGTTCACTGTACACCACGGGTCTCCAAACTACGGCCCGCGGGCCGGATGCGGCCCGCGAAGTCCTCTCATCCGGCCCGCTGTGATATTTTTGTCCAAGGAAAAATCGTTTGTTGGTGATGGCTGAGGAACTTTGCCCAGAAAAATCAAAGACATGCCTGATGAAACTGGCACCCGAACTGAAATTTGATAGTTAATGCGGCCCTCTGACTGAAAAGTTTGGAGACCCCTGCTGTACACGATAGTACGGGAAAACCCAGTTTAAAAATATCTCAGTCACTAAGCCGTTCGAGCAATATAATGGTAGTGAATTTGTTGAGGCATTTATTTTGTTTACGTTTCCTTGGAAAGCCTAGTTTTGGAATGTTTATGGTCTTGTTGATCTTGTTTATCAGGAAAACATGAAATTCGTTCTTTTATTGGTGACCTTGATGACATTGATGGTTCTGGCTCGCTGTGGCCCTTGGTGTGGAAGTGGAGAGTTCAAGGCCGCTCACAGGTGCGAGCCGTGTAGGAACGGAACCTACCAGGACGAAGTGAGGCACCAGGAAAAGGAATGCAAGCCATGTCAAGACGCTGACGTCACAAAGGGTGAGCAGATCAGCCAGGCATGCACGTCGAGGTCAAGGTCAGTCCTCGGCTGTAAGGCGGGCTACTACATCAAAGGTCGAGGTGACCTGGGGACGGTGACCTGTCGCAGGTGTACCCAGTGCAGGAGCCTGTACGTGGCCCGACACTGTGGTGGACAGTCTGACACCATCTGCTGTCCCAGACCTGGCATGAAGGCCTTTAAGGTTGAGAATGACGTCATCCAGTGTTTCCGAGAAGGTAAAATAGCTCTGTATCTGTAATGAAGATCTATGTTGGCAACTGCTCATAATGAGTTTCATCTCATAATTGGCTGGGCACTGTAGTTTTAGACAAGATAGCCACATTTAGAGGGCATTAACTTGATTTTTGTGCACACATATAGTCTGTCAATTTATATGTCAACAACATTTTTGTATTTACCTAAAATAATTATTGTATTCCGAAACCCGAAACTTGAAATAACAGAACCTATATATCGAATTTCACTCACTTTTGGTTTTACCTAATTAAAAATAGCCGACTGTAAACATTCACGAGACGTAGCTTCTAAAACTCATTGCAGATTCCTCTCGCAAGATCTTTGCTCATCAATATAATCAAAACTTGTATTAATGTACAATAAATGTTCGTACTAATTATTATTTAATTTGCAATTTTCAGAGCCAACAAAGAGGATCACGTTTACAAAGTCAGTCGTTTGTGAAGACAACGAGGTGACACTGAGACTGAAATGTCAGGCCAGAGGATTCCCCCGGAGGATCCAGCTAGTGCAGCCAGAGTCTGGGAGAGTCTATGACGATTGGCACAACACGAAACGGAGACTCAGGGAAAACGTGACGCTTTATAATTACGACTTTCCGAACCTCGGAAAAAACGAGATTTTTGCCTGTATCGTCATGTTCAAAGATGGAAGTAATCGGATGAAGACGATGAGATTTAAAGATACTTGTACTGGTTGATATAATAATCAACATTCGTACTTTCTATAATAGTCGCTAGAATTAAGAACTATCGATGTGTCTCCCATTAATTAATGCATTTTGTATTTACACAGTACATATATTTGCACTTTTTTTTGCTTTATTTCCACTAGATTAAAAGGGTTTTTGTATTAAGAAGTGTAGCTATTTCAGCTTGTATGCTCTGGAGGTCAGAAGCTAGAGGTGCTGTACTTCATAAGGTCATATGTCATCTGCCAGTCCTGTACCACAATGAGGCTGTCCTCCATGAAAGCACTCAACAGCTCTGTGGGCAGCTTGTACACGTGTCTCTCGTCAACCAGGACGACAACCCGCGCAGGGTTGGCTGGTGTCTGAGCGTAGACGGCAGCCCTGAAGGTAAACATCATCCAATCGTCATGCAGGAACTGCGGGTTGTACACCAGCAAGATTCGCCAGCTGGAGTTGATGGCCTCAACTATCCCGCGCGCGGTGTCTAGACAGGGCAAAAGGTCACGGTCACGTAGGAATGACGTCATGTGCAGCTTGTCTTCTATAAATTCTCGCAGCGGATGGCAGGCAAATCTGTAATCTCTGTCAGCGTATTCAGCGTAGTCAGAGGCGTTGAGAGGCGGGGTGACACCATTTAGGTGGGTGACACCAAGAACAAAAATAATGCAAGATAAATAGAATAAATATGTTTTTTTGGCAGTTAATTAGAGTCAAAAAGTATTTAAAGTACATATAGACGATCTCGACATGGGGGGAGGGGGGGTGACACATTCAAATTATAGAGAAAACAATGCTACACCCAGCTCTATTTATAACCGACTATTGATAAACATCATTAGTATAAAATGTGAACACTTTAAAGCTATTACTTGGGTGGGGAGGGGTAGGGGGTAACTGGCAATAACTGCAAAATTTTCAGAGAAAAAAGTGGTGGGGTGGGGGGGGGGGGGAAACACCATAAGGTGCCGGACTGTGTGACACCCGAACTAGCGACGCCATTGAGCGTAGTCCATATAAACATCGATTAAATTAAAAAAAACCGCAACAATTTTGAATGATTAAACGTTCAACTGTGCAAAGATTTGTGTTTAGTTTTAAAAATTATTATGCCACTAGGCAAAACTGTAATTTGATTGTGGGTTTATGTTATATATTTAAAACTTAGTGACACTGTGTCATAAATGATTGTGGATTAGATTTCCCTTCATATGGTTAATATCTTGAGGACAAAGAAAGAGGTGAACTCTACTTCACCTGCCCTGTATCCCGCCAAGATCGATAGGCAACTTTATCATTCACATCTACAGTGACACGATGTGTCTAGAAACCGTGCCACCAGCATGGAAGCCTAAAACGCTATCTTCTTAGCTATCTAGGCTCATGACTTCAATGACGTTTTTTTGTATTCTATATTAGTAGTTTGAATCTGCTTAAGAAACTTGATTTACGCGAATAGGCCCTAGATCTAGTATCTTTCAAATTAAATTTTATCTTAAATTAGCCAATTCCATAGTTAAACAAAGATTTATATAATGTAATGAAGGTCTGAATTAGTTTAGTATAGAAACTCATTATTATCTAGATCTAGATAGTAAGAGTTATCTAGATTCCATGACTTGTTTGGTTAAGTCGAGTTTTCTCGTAGATCTAGAACCTAAATAGATAAATCACTTGTATCCTTGAATTAAATGATCCGTGAAGCTAAAAAGCAAAGATTTATATCAAATATTTAATGACCAAAATAGTTTAATAAAGAAACTCAATAATTTATTCTGATTTTAAAATGCTTTTTAATTTTAACTAATTGATTTTAATTTGACCTAGATTCTAGATCTATAAATAACTTCCTACGACAGCTGATCTTTAGATTCTAGATCTAGAGAAATTTATTGTATACTTAAATGAAAAGGACTGTTGAAAATTGATGAAACGTAATGAAAATAGCAAAACGGACGTATCGTTAAAGCTATAGCCGACAAATAAATTAGCTTTATAACGCTTTAAACGTTTGAATGGACACCAAAATCTTCGATGGAAGCCGCCATTATTGTTATAAATACATTGTTGTAAATAAATCATGTGACGTCACTATAAAGTCATTTTTCTGAACTTTTATAATTAATGTGGTTAATCTACCAATGAATATATAAATAAATTAATTGATGCATTTAACTTAATTTGTGATTAACAGTCTGTTAATTAAAAAGAAAATTGTTCTCTACCTAATTACGTATTGTACAGCTCTACACATAGTGTAGATTCTCTCCTGTAAACAAACGGACAAACAAATAATATTCAAACATGTGTAAGTACCGATGAGTACCTATAAGTATTACAATAATAAACACTAAATACTTAACATAAGATACTTCATACCTATTCTGCACATGCAGCACTAGTAGAAATAGTACAGTAATAATAAACATAATTTGCATTACCTTGATTAGGTGTACATAAGGTCTACATGATCAACTTATTATTGGCAACTGCACCGTCCGTGTCCACAGCAGCCTTGGGTCTGAATGACACGGCCACAGGCACGAACTACCCATAATCCCATGTCACATGACATGGAACACGGGTAAAATTCGCTCATCGAAGAACAATAAAAAAAACTACATCAACAGTTGCGGTCCCATAGGGGCCGCAACCGAATAAATTATAACTTATAATTCATCCCGCTTGGCTGGTAACAATGATATGTGTTACACATGTAAACAAACTTGAGTTTTAGTAGTATATAGATAGATAGATAGATATTCTCCCCAACAACTTCTCCACAACCCTTTTAGGTACTTGTGTCCGTCCATTGTCCAACCTGGGATATAGGGCCTACATTTGAAAACATTTTAAATTCGTCTTCAAAGATTCTCAACATCTTCTTCAAGAGTTATTATGCTCAAACTAATTTAATAAGGCATAGCTGACCTATGTCTATATATATATATATATATATATATATATATATATATATATATATATATATATATATATATATATATATATATATACATATATATATATATATATATATATATATATATATATATATATATATATATATATATATATATATATAATTGTATACCTATGGAAAAACATTTTGAACCCCTCCCATGACCAATTCCTGGCTACGCCACTGATAAATGTGCGTGTGCGTGGGGGGGGGGGGGGTGTATTTAAAACTATAATTATAACAATTCTTACAATTACCCCATCCTTACCTGGAAGTTTCAAATGCCCTACTCTGGAGAAAAATATATTAAAACATGTTACAAGGTGGTTTTACTGTAAATTTTTTAGTGCAATACGCTATGAATACGATGTCATATCTTTACAAATCAGATTTTGTAGCTACCCGGTGCTGAAAGTCTCCGATATCAGAAAACTAGGTCACAACACGCGTCATTGTTTGGAGGTTTATGAAAATTCCAGTTTCTTCTGATCTAGACTTCACTCAGCTACATCATTGTGTGCTGCTGCCTTCATTTACGGTCAAGGTATAGTTTTATAGGTATAGTTTTATAGGTATAGTTTTATAGGTATAGTTTTATAAATTTTATAGGTATAGTTTTATTTTTTAAAAATAAATATACATTTACAACATATTTTCGGAACGTCATGGCGGAACATCAAGCTCATCTGTTACAGCTATTAGTAGACAATCAAATGTAAATAAGTTTACAAAATTAGGTTTTTTAAAATAATTAATACATGACGTTTACATGCTCCTAAATTTAAAAAAAATCAAATTTATTTCAAAAAGGATTTGTTGTATTAATTTTTATAACAGCTCAAAAAATTAGGACAAAGAGTTCGTGTGATTTGAAAGTGATTTGCAGGTTAAAACACGTTTACCTAGTTATTAACCTAATGTAATTGTCAAAATGTCGTCAATTTGTTAATTCCGTAACTTATATACACTGTAAAAATTTAATCAGTTGTTCTATTTAATAACGTCGCAGTAGTAGCCTACGCTTGGGATAAATGTATTAACATTTTTATCGACCTTCACCCCAGGTTATTTAAATGATAAGACGACAGGTGGAGTAGAGGTGAATGTGGGGCCAAGAACGGTGTGTCGCATTTTGTGGTTGACAACTTGAGGGAGGGTTTCATTATTGATTAGTTGTGGGACCTGTATATTCATGTACTTAAGAATACCTGCTATGGAAGTACCGCTTATCATATCACCATAATGCAGAGTTTCTTTCATACATCTCTTCGAAGTTGAAGTGTGGGGGTGGGGGTGGTGAGTAGTATATTAGGTCCCTCTTGGTTATCATGGGTGAGGCGGAGGCTGAGGCGGAGGCGGAACAAAGGCTATATAGGAAAATACTCCCCCAGCCTGGTACAATGACATATAGTAAAATACTCACCCACCTGGGTAAGTGGGTGAGCAGCCTGGTACAACGGGATATAGTAAAATACTCCCTGGGGGAGGTGGAGGTACATCGACATATAGCAAAATACTCACCCACCTGGGTAAGTGGGTGAACAGCCTGGTACAACGGGATATAGTAAAATACTCCCTGGGGGAGGTGGAGGTACATCGACATATAGAAAAATACTCACCCACCTGGGGGAGCAGGTGGGTGAGCCTGGTACAATGAGATATAGTAAAATACTCACCCAACTGGGTGAAGATGGGTGAGGGTGGGTGAGCAGCCTGGTACAACGAGATATAGTAAAATACACACCCAACCTAGGGTGGCGGAGGCGGTGGGTGATCAGGTGGGGGGGGGGGGGGGTGACCTTGTGACGTAATCAGAGGTGACCTTGTGACGTAATCAGTGACCTAGTTACGTAATTTTAACGAGTTTTTTAATTAGTTTGAATTTAATTTTTAAATTTTAATTAATTTTTATTAACGAGTTACGTAATTTGATTATTTGTTTACTTTTTTAATTGTTTAATTTGTTTGTTTACTTGTTGTTTAATTTAATTACTTTGTTTATATTGTATAATTTTTTTATTAACGAGTTACGTAATTTGATTTTAATTTTTTAAATTTAAAAAAAAATTTAAATTTTTAAATTTTTAAAATTTTAAATTTTTATTGAGTAGTTACGTGATTGGATTTTAATTTTTTAAATTTTTAAATTTTTTTAAAATTTTAAAATTTTTAAAATTATTAATTTTTAATTTTAAATTTTAATTTGTTTATTTGTTTATTTGTTGTTTTGTTTATTTGATTGTATGTATGTTTAATAGTAAACGGAGAGGGGGTGGTGGTGGTTGAGAGGGATGGTCGGGGAGGAGAGGGAGTAATGACGGGGTTTGAGGGTAGGGGTGTGCTAGCATGTACTAGAACATTCTTTGTATATCATCCATTTATCCGCGGCTAATCGTTATCAACACCTGTTACTTATCGATCCGCGAAGCTTTACTTTTTGACAGGTACCGACCGGAGATTTATGGGTTTTTTCTCGGTCGCAGCTACAGGGCCATCAAATGAGAGCCTGTCTAATTAAATTTGGTCACGCATCATTTTTTAAATTTTAATTTTTAATTAGTTTAATTATATTGTGTAATTTTTATTAACTAGTTACGTGATTGAATTTTAATTTTTTAAATTTTTTAAATTTTTTAAATTTTTAAATTATTATTTTTAAATTTTATTTTTAATTATTGTTTACTTGTTGTTTAATTTAATTACTTTGTATAATTTATTTGTTTGAAATTCATTTTAATTAGTTTGATTTTAATTTCTTTGTTGTATGCCGTTTAAAATAAAAGACTAACACTAGCGTGTACTAGAACATTCTTTCTCTCAACATCCATTTAACCACAGCTATTAGTCCTTAGCGACAGCTGTTACTTATCGATCCGCCCGTGAACCTCCCCAGCGCTGCCCGTGGTTGCTTAATAGCGGATTCACTGAAGCGATCACAGCAGGTAATTAATTGAAGCCATTAAATGCTTGTCAGCGTAGCCAACATGCGACAGCTGTTACTTATCGATCCGCCCGTGAACCTCCCCGGCGCTGCGCGTTTTTGAATGGGAATGTATTGATCGACCCGTGTCGAGTGCGTGTATCCATTAACCATCAGGCGACAGCTGCGCATCAGTTGTGCAACAGCTGGTACCACACTTTCCACTAACAGTTAAACGTACAGTGTCATGGGTTTTTAAGTTTCCTGGTACGAGTATGTTAAACGTACACACACACACACACACACACACACACACACACACACACACACACACACACACACACACACACTAAAATTAAAACAAAAGTTTTCTTATATTTTATTTATTTATTAACGTTGTTTCCAAGTCATCAAAGGCTTTTAAAATATCACGGTGTAAACTTAACAAGTGTTCAATACATATTCGATTATAGTAATATGGGTGAGAGCGGTGAGTAGGCGGGTGAAGGGTGAACAGGTGGGTGAAGGGGGAAATACTTCATCACCTCAGTGAGGTGGGTGAGCAGGTAGGTGAAGGGGGAACACGAGTAGGAGTAACGGATATATAGTAAAAGATTCCACCACCTAAGTGAGGTGGGTGAGGAGGTGGATTTTAATTTTAATTTTTTTATTTTATTTTTTCATCACCTGTTAACTTTAAGGTTCTATAACTCTATATATTTAAATACATTTTTTGATTCAACCGAGTTTACTTTTCTTAACGTAAGTACATGTAAAGAGGGGTTTCCAATAGATCTGTAATGAATTAGGCCTTTTTGACTATGACTTGTTGCCCAGGTGTTGACATGATACGCTTTTTTGAGATACACGTACACACACACACACACACATACACACACACATACACACACATACGCGCGCGCGCGCGAAATTCATACTAGGTCGATAAAGGCGGAGAGAACTTATAGGTATACATTATCATGGTGACAACAAAAGCGATCCTTATTTTATTTACATGAAAGCGTGTTTTCCAAAAAGTGTCACCATGCCGCTGTCATTTTCGCAGTGGGGTTTATTTTAAGTGCACCTCGTGCACGCTTGTTTACATTTTAAAAGTCGTGTCGCGTGTCTTCCCTAATAGAGAAACGAGAGGAAAAATAACTGTTCTAAAATTAGAACAGACTTGTTTACAGCCACGAGTATCGTCCCTTGTGAAACATATTCGCGTCAGAATCCTTAACTAAACATTCAATTTCTTTAACAAGTTAAAAAATAATTTAGGAAGACAAGGGTTAACAACATTCGACGCCACCCTTTTTTGTTTTCTGTGACGACAAGGCACAATACACTTTTGTATTTTATATCTCAAGTAGAGGGGTGGGATATTTTTTTCTTTGTAAGAGTCTTGTAAACAATGGGTAGACGATGTGATTACTAAGTAAGAGGGGAGAGAACAGGGTTTGCATCGCGATATTTGAAAACATGGCGATGTTTAACCTCATCCAAAAAAGGCAATGAACCTAGAAGGAAGACGAATTTATATCTTAGTCTTGCAGCAGATTACCTTCCCATGTTCGCTTTAGTATTACAGTTTTCATCAAACTTCTTTTTGACTTGAACTTCTTTAATTTTTAAGAAAGTTTACTTATACATATAACATTACGTCTAATGACAATTTTTTATTTTTACCACGCAATGTATTTTCTTTTTCTATATCTTACATTGTCATCTTAATTTTTGATCACCTTAGTAAAAATTTGCTTAAGATTATAAACTTCAAGTTTTAAAAAACAACAACGTTATAGTACGTCGTGTCAAATGACACACCGTTTAAAATGTCTACATTTAAAGTTCACCAATATAATGACGTAAAAACTAAATATGATATGACGTTAGCATACATATCATTCAATCTAATCACTCTAAAGTACAAATCAATAATTTTTATTGATTAAGGGGCTGGGTGAGTTATTTTTATTCGGGTGCCCAGGGAAGGTTTGGAGTTGGTTGGGACAGATTTTATACACGAGTCGGTGACGTTTTCACCGAGGCAGGGTTCGAAGCTAGACCATGCATGTTTTGGAATTGTTAGGGGTCGAGTCTATAGTAGGGTCGGGGGAGTTTTCACCTAGGCAGGTTGCAAAGTTGGTACATGCATGTTTTAGAATTGATAAGTAGATAGTTTATACGAGAGTCGTGGGAGTTTGTGTTTCACTGAAGCGTGTTTCAATGTTGGGACATCCATGTTTTGGAATTGGATGAGGTAGAGTTTACACTAGGGACGGAGGTGTTTTGGTTACACCGAGGGTGGTTTCAAAGTTCGTACATGCATCCTTGGGATTGTTAGGGGTCGTGTTCATACTAGGGTCGGTGAAGTTTTCACCGAGGTTGGTTTTGAACTCGGAACATGTATGTTTTGGAATCGGTAGGTGTAGAGTTCATACTAGGGTCGGTGAAGTTTTCACCGAGGCAGGTTACAAAGTTGGTACATGCATGTTTAGGAATTGTTGGCAACCGAGTTCATACTAGGGTCGGGGGAGTTTTGTTAACACCGAGGCAGGTTGCAAAGTTGGTACATGCATGTTTAGGAATTGTTGGTGTGTATTTTACTATATCTCGTTGTACCAGGCTGCTCACCCACCCTCACCCATCTTCACCCAGTTGGGTGAGTATTTTACTATATCTCATTGTACCAGGCTCACCCACCTGCTCCCCCAGGTGGGTGAGTATTTTTCTATATGTCGATGTACCTCCACCTCCCCCAGGGAGTATTTTACTATATCCCGTTGTACCAGGCTGTTCACCCACTTACCCAGGTGGGTGAGTATTTTGCTATATGTCGATGTACCTCCACCTCCCCCAGGGAGTATTTTACTATATCCCGTTGTACCAGGCTGTTCACCCACTTACCCAGGTGGGTGAGTATTTTACTATATGTCATTGTACCAGGCTGGGGGAGTATTTTCCTATATAGCCTTTGTTCCGCCTCCGCCTCCGCCTCCGCCTCACCCATGATAACCAAAAGGGACCTAATATACTACTGTGGTGGCACGGTCAATCTTGAGCACGTGCATCGTTACCGGACAAAATAGAAAACAATTATATAAACATAATATATATTTAAAGTTTAAACCCCACTACAAAAAAATTACTTAAAGTAACTGTGCCTTCATGGATCTTTTAAATATAGCATACGTAAAATGAAATGTGTTATTATAAAATTGGCAATATAGTGTTGCTTTAAGGTTTTCTTTAAATAATAAAATAATAACGGACATTACCTTGAAGTGTTTTTAAAGAAAATATATACTATTTTAACCACGCAAAGTAAACAATTTTGGTGATGAAAGCTATATGATATTTACGATATTTTTATTATTACAGAAACAAAAAACATGGCAGTTTCTGAACACCTGGCTAAAGCTGTCGTCAATGCTATAGACAAACAGTTGAACAATTGCACGTATCATGACGTCACCGTGACGGTTGAAGGCACAGAATTCCAATGCCACAGATTTCTGCTGAGTGCCAGCTCCAAGTTTTTCAGGGCGCTCTTCCAGTCTGGGATGCGAGAGAATCAGGACAGGAAGGTGGAGCTGAAACAGATGACGTCAGAGACGTTTGGTCTGGTGCTGGACTGTATTTACAAAGCTAAAAATGTTCTCTCGGTGGACAATGTATCTGATGTATGGCAGGCGGCCAATCAGCTCCAGATAGACTTCCTGCTGGAGGCCTGCGAACTGTTTCAGATAAAAAGACTGTCCAAAGACAGCTGCATCGAGATTAACATTGAAGCGAAACATCTGGATTCCAAAAAACTTCTAGAACTCTCCTGGGATGTCTTAATTAAGGACTTCGATTATTTGAGGAAGACGGATGATATTCTATATTTAGATTTTGAAGACATGAAACGGCTTGTCACAAGTGACGACTTGGAAATTAATTCTGAAGATGTTGTCATTGATCTAATCTTAAGATGGGCAGAATTCATTCCACAATCAGACGAGAGAAAACATACGGATGTCTTTGAACACGAATCAAAAGGTTCAACAAATATTGTTTTGATCGCTGCATCTAATGAAAAAGAAAAAGATACGAAAGAAATCGACAAAAGACAAAGGCTTGAAAAATGTAGCAAAACTGCGAAAAATGAGGTCTGCGATGAAATAAATAAGCGTAAAAACACATCGACGTCTATAGTAAAAGAAGATTACAAATATAACAGACTTTCTTTTGTACACGAACTTTTGTCTGTATCCAAAATTGGCCTGATAAGTGGTGCATGTTTCCAGAAACTGTTAGACAGTGAGACTGTATCACAAAGTCCTGAAGCTTTTGCTATCGTCAAAGAAGCGCTCGGTCAACATCTAAAGCCCAGCAAACAGTTTTACTACTGCCCTCCCCAAGCCACTCATAGACCTAAGAGTTTGTTGGCGAATGTTGTAATTACTATTGTATGTGATAGTGTCTTCAAGATGTCTTGCAGGACCAACGACGGCACATGGTACCAACTACAACCACCGCAGATTAGGTGTACGGCTGTTGGATTTGAGGAGTCTATTTATGTCTTATCTAACTTTATTAACCAATATGCTGCATATAGATACAACCCAAACACTAACATCTGGACTAACATTGTGTGCCTGAACCCAGAAAGAAACAACTGTCAACTGGTAAGTCTAGACAACTACATCTATGCCATAGGGGGCGACAACTCTACTTCTATTGACAGGTTCAATGCTAAAGACGAGCAACAAAAACCAGGTTCCGGCAAGTGGGAGAAAGTGGGTGACCTCAAAATGGCGGTCACCAACATGATGGCTACCACAGTTGGAAACTCTATCGTTGTGTTCGGGAGTGAAGCGGCCACAAGCACCACAACCACGGTCCAAAGTTTCAACACACACACCTTGACCAGCCACTTCTACACAGACAACATGTCCGGTGTTGCCAGCAACATGGTCAGTTTCAAAGACCGCAGCGACACCTATGTCCTTCAGCAGACAGGCGCCCTGTGGAAGCTGGCTGCCTGCAATGATCACATTCTCAAGATGGAGTTCTGCACTGTGTTGTTTGAGGAGAAGTTCAAGCTCTCTGCCGCTCTTATACAAAATGAAGAGCTCTTACTTCTGGGGACCGAGATCAATCCCATCATGCACCGAGAATGGGACACCAGTCACCTTGACATGTTTAAAAGGATAAAAATAATTGAGAGACCCGGATGTTGTCTTCTTAGCACCGTCATACCTAAGTCGTTTCTTGTTACCTTGGAAACGTAAAGACTGACCCAAACATTTAGTTTGAAATTCGTTGAATTTATTAAAAAATTATTTAGTATTAGTTAGTACTAGCATTTAGAAAACTATATATTTAGAAACGTTTCTTTCCCATAATAAAATATTAGTTTCATCTCATTGTAATAAAAGATTTAAATGGTATTTCTTGCTATTAATAAAATTACTGTCAACTTGTCAGAAAGATCACACACACTCTTACTTCTTTTTTCTTGGTTTATTTTTTTGTTTGTTTGTTTCTTTCTTTTTATCTTTTTTTTCTTCCTCTCTCCCCCTCTCACTTTTCACTAAAGCAAAGATTTAAGGCCAGGCAGACCAAAGGATCTTCACACTTGAACGACTTTCTATGACGTGTCGCAGCACCTGGTTTATTGGGAATATGGTGGCAGTTCGGTAGTTGAAAACAAAACATGCTATATTTATACTTTTCAACTGCTTGCTGAAATGAGACAGAACTAGTATTTACTGATTAATGCAAGTCTAAAATTTATTTGTTCCTTTTTCGTTACATATCCTTTTTTACAGTCTAAATAGATAAAGGTAATAAAATAGACACATAGAGGCACCACAGTAGACACATTCAGACGATAACATCTACACTCAACGATACTAATATAAACACACTTATAAACACGTGACATTTTTGTAAAAGCCTTATTTTTAGCGCAGGTTTAAGTATAAAAATGTGGTTTGACTATTGTAAATCGTTCTACTCTATGTGGAGAGCTGTAAAATAGTATGTAAGTAGAGAATAATTTTTGATTTCAGACAGACTGATAATCACAAATTTATTTAAAGACGTTAATTAATTTATTGATTTATTCATTGTTAGATTAACCACATTAATTTTAAAAGATTAGAAAAACGACTAGACTTGACGCGGAACAGTAACGTCACATTTTTTTGTTCACTTTTTAGTACAATAAAATGGCGGCGTCTATCAAAGAAGATTGTGTTCCCATTCAAAAGTTTAACGCGTTCTAAATCTAATTTTCTGTCGGCCATAACTTTAACTATACGTCCGTTTGCTGTTTTTATTACGTTCCAACACTTATTTAAATTTTCAACTGTCTTTTTCATTTAGTTTTACAATAAATTTCTCTAGCTCTACACTCTGTCCAAGAAAGTTATTTATAGATCTAAAAATATCATGTGGCCAAGCAAGTTATTTATAGATCTTGATCTAGAATCTAGGTCAAACCAAAGATTAATTAGATACATACCAAAGATTAATTAGATAAAAATACAATCCATTTTATAATCATAATACATTTTTTAGTCCTTAAATACTTGATATAAATCTTTGTGATTTATCTATCTAGATCTAGATCTATCTATCTAGAATAGGTCTAATGATTAGATCTAGATTCTGGATCTAGAATTTCTAGATCTAGCAAGAGTTACGCAAATACTAGACTTAACCCTTTATCTACTGACGGTACTTATAAGTACCACTTTAATTAAGCGCCTGTATTATTTTTAATTTAAGACGAATTTTAAAAAATATTGATGCAATTTATAGTATTATCTCCCTTGAGTCACAGGTAGGTGGAGGGAACGATTATTTTGAAAATTACTGGTGTGGCGCCATTTTCAATCTCTACCTGTATCGGTATTTCACAATTGTTCTGTACATATCTCACACATGTTCCTGATTTCCTTTTGTTTTACCTTATTCTTCAAGTTTTCAACACCAAATATTTTTTATTGGCATCTTCAATAGTCAGGCAAATGCGTTTAACTTCTAGTTATACAATTTCATCAAATTGTCTTTGTAATAGATCGATGTTTGCAAGTGGACTTTTAAGTACCGTCAGGGCACACGGACATTTTTTTTAGGATTTCTTGAAAATTGCTGATTTTCGATGTGGAGTGACATAAATATTATTTTTATATTTATTATCGAAATGCACTTAAAAAAATATATATATACATTTATAAGAAGGTTAGCATAGGGTTTTCCTCAGAAATATTGTAATTAATTGCAGATTTCTAGTAGTAAAAGAATAAAAAGAATAGAGGTGGCAGTTGCAGGCTCCTTTACTAGGTTTAGTATACGTTATTTGTATATCAAAGTCTAGTTCTAGAAGTAAGATTTGTAAGTTATATTTGTTGCAAAAAAAACTGTCATGCCTACAATAGCTAGCGTGTACGTAATGTATACATGTAGACTAGTAATAGCCCATACATCTGCATGTAGTATAGATAGTTTTGTAATTTTGAATAAGTAAACACAAAACAGTAGGCCACTATGGCTATTCCAAACACATTGAGCTCACTTCTATTTATGAACTTTACACTGTAGTGTAGACTTGTCATAACATTCTAGTAGGCTACAATTATACTAGTATTACAAGTGGTTGTGTACTGAATGACAAGGATTTCGTTTTCAAAATATTTGTTTATGCGGCTCATTGTAATGGCTATTGGAAGCCTCCAGCAAAAGCAGGTTCAGTCTGGCAACTGTTGCCACACAAGAAAGACGACAGACAAGAATGTCTGAGGAATGAAGAAGCATGACATGTCGGCACCTTTTGCTGTCTTTGAGGTCTAAGATGTGTTCTGATAGAAAATCCAGTAAAAATCGTACTCAAAATATAATTTTGTGCTGGGTTTATGTGTGAAAATTACAAAAAAATGATTGTTATATTGATTGCCATGTTATTATTTAATAAGTTGTATCGTTTTTTCCTGTTTTGTAAATTTTTTAATTTTTGGAAAAAATGTCCTACATTCCTGACGGTACTTATAAGTACCAATACATTTTTTGGCCCTTAAAAATTTATGAAACAAAATTTCCTTTGACATATGCATTAAATGTGTCAAAAGCAATATGATAACACATTGTTTAAGAAAAAATGTCATTCGGAACCTAATTCCGTAAATAAAGGGTTAAGACTTAAGAAAACGAGTCGTAGAATCTAGATCTAGATAATTCTATCTAGATCTAGATAATTTCAGACCATCATTATTTTATATAAATCTTGGTTTGGCTAATTTAAGATAAAATTTAATTTGAAAGTTACTACTACTAGACTTAGATCTAGATCTATGCGCGTAAATCAAGTTGGATAAGGAGACTCAAAGTATTAATGTATAGTATAAAAATACATCTGTGACGTCACGAGTTAAATAGCTAAGTTGTTAGTGTAATCGGCGTGCATGCGGGTGGCACGGGTTCTAGACCAATACGTCAATGATAATTTTTTTTAATTTTTTTTTAAATTTTTTAGATGTGAATGATAAAGTTGCCTATCTGAACTTGGCGGGATACAGGGTAGGTGAAGTAGAGTTCATCTGTTTCTTTGTCCTAAGCATATGAAGGGATAGTGTTGTCAGAGACATGCTCGGCTGGAATCGTTTTTTTAAAGGATAAAACATGTTGTCTGAGACTTGGCGGGACACTGGGCAGGTGAAGTAGAGTTGAGTAGGTCACCTGTGACGTCAGTATATGAAGGGATAGTCCGAAATCGGTGTTTTCGGTGTTTTTAAAAGATAAAAAACATATTTTTGAATGTGGGGTCTGGTTTTTTTTGACGATAAGTGACACTGCAGTAACGTAGCGAGGGGGGGGGGGGGGCGGGGGAGGACATATGTTCCCGGGCGCCGACCTTAGAGGGCGCCAAAATGGGTTGGAAAAATAAATTGAATGGTTGAGGGGGGTGCAAATTGAAAGTTTGAAGGGGGGATGCAAAGCGAAATCTTGGGGGGGGGGGGGGGGTTGCACATCGAAAGTTTGAGGAGGGGGGGGTGTAAATCGTAAAGTTTGTCCCCGGGAAGGGTCGCTACGGCTCTGAGTGACAGACGTGATGTTTTTTATGGATGACCCCCGAAGCCCACAGTTATCCAACGGATGACGGGTAGTCTAGTCTATATACTACTCAAGTTTGTTTACATGTTTGAATACTTATTTGTTTTTTTTTGTTTGTCTGATTCGGTACTGTAAGGAAACTGATCTATATATGGGGGGGGGGGGGGGGGCTGTAAAATAGTATTTAGGTAGAAACATTTTTTTGTTTGCATACAGACTTAATCAGCTATTTATTTAGGGACGTTAATTAATTAATTGTTTTATTCATAGGTAGATTAACCACATTAATTTTAAAGGTTTAGAACAATGGCTTAACTTTGACTGAATAGTGATGTTTGATAACTCATTTTTTTGTTTGTTTGCCTTTCTGATTTGTTATTGGGGAGAGTCTGCATTATGTGTAGAGCTGTAAAATAGGACTTTGGGTGGTAAATATTGTTCCGTCTTAAAAACTGTTAATTACAAACTAATTTAAAGCCGTTAATTAATTTATTGATATATATTCATAGGTAGATTAACCACATTAATTATAAAAGTTTAGAACAATGACTTTAGTAATAGTAAAAAAAAAATATTTTCTTTTTACAACAATGCTTTCAATTATTTTTTTCTTAAGGCCTATAAGTGAATGAAAAGGTTGACTATCAGGACCTCGCGGGGCACAGGGCAGGTGAAGTAGAGTTCACTGTTTCTATGTTCTCAGCATATGAAGGGATAGTGTGGTCAGAGCCATGCTGGGCCGGAGTCGTTTTTTTAAAAATATAAAACATGTCTGAGACTTGGCGGGACACTAGGCAGGTGAAGTAGAGTTTAGTATAGTTTTTTAAAATATAAAAAAGGTCTTTTTGAATGTGTTGTCTGGTTATTTTGGGATGATAAATGCTGACATACGTGATGTCATTTATGGATGACCCCCGAAACCCACAGTTATCTAACTAGATAACGGGTAGTCTAGTGCCTTCTATTTACAGCGTCCAAGGTCGGGGACCAATCCATTCAAATGCTATTATAACAGACAAGGCGAGCGCATGTGTACGCGCTGGAATCCTAAACTATTACAAAGTTATGTTTATATATAATCAAAATCCATAATTAAGGCAACACTTATAACGTACAAAGTTCTGTTATAAATCTATTCATACGCTTATGGGTTATTTTTTTTATTATTTTACTATCAGTAAAACTGTATTCACGATCAAGGGGTGGCTCAGACCCCTTACCAGCTGAATTATATATACTGTATTTTCTGATTGTTGTTATTATAAACGGTACAATTATATTTTTACCGTTAAAAATAAAAAGAAATGCATAAAAACGTATTACTAACAACCTTTTATTTAATAAAGCACGAAAGGGGAGAACATAAAGGATCTTCTTTAAATATATTATAATACTCTACTATTTAAAAAGCTATAAAGAAAGCGTGGGTCGTCATAATATGTATTACATACTTTTGCTAATATTTCGGAAGCAACCCACGATTTTCTTTATAGTTATGTAAATAGTAGTGTATTATAAATATTTTAAAAGAATAATTTATTTTCTCTTTTTAGTGCATTACTAGAGCACCCGTTATCTAGTTAGATAACTGTGGGTTTCGGGGGGCATCCATAAATGACATCACGTCTGTCACTTATCATCACAAAATAACCAGACCCCACATTAAAAAAAGACGTAAATTTAAAAAAAAAACAACAACAATGACATGATGTGTCTAGAACCCTTACCACCCGCACGGAAGCCAATTACACTATCACCCTAACTATCTAGTCTTCATATCTTATATGAAGCACAAAAAGTGCTTCGTATACATAGTTTGACTCTGTTTAAGAAACCTGATTTACGCGAATAGGCCCTAGATCTCTTATCTTTCAAATAAAATTTTATCTTAAATTAGCCAATTCCATAACTAAACAAACCCAGATTTATATAAAAAAATGAAGGTCTCAAATAGTTTAGTATAGAAACTCATTATTATCTAGATCTAGATCTAGATAGAGTTATCTAGATTCTACGAATGGTTTGGTTAAGCCGAGTTTTTGGCGTAACTCTAGACTCTAGAACCTAAATAGATAAATCACTTGTATTCTTGAATTAGATGATACGTGAAGCTAGAAAGCAAAGATTAAGAGTCTGTCTAAAAACAAAAATTGTTCTCTACCTAAATACAAGACAGACAAATACAAATACAGACAGACAGACAGACAGACAGACAGACAGACAGACAGACAGACAGACAGACAGACAGACAGACAGACAGACAGACAGACAGACAGACAGACAGACAGACAGACAGACAGACAGACAGACAGACAGACAGACAGACAGACAGACAGACAGACAGACAGACAGACAGACAGACAGACAGACAGACAGACAGACAGACAGACAGACAGACAGACAGACAGACAGACAGACAGACAGACAGACAGACAGACAGACAGACAGACAGACAGACAGACAGACAGACAGACAGACAGACAGACAGACAGACAGACAGACAGACAGACAGACAGACAGACAGACAGACAGACAGACAGACAGACAGACAGACAGACAGACAGACAGACAGAGTAAGCGAGTTAAACAAAAGCTGGAAAAAGTCTAATGGGGCATGCATTAGATAAAAAAAAAGACTCCAAAGAAATTTGAGTGTGAGGTAACACGATGTGGACGATGTGGTCGAATAATAGAACGTTTGACGGCTAACCAAAAACTTTTGAGTTCGGAACCCTTGCTCGAATGTGTAGAATGTCCATGAGTCCACTCTGCTCATATTGGAATCTTACTCCCGTTTAGGAAACTAAAAGTAACTGGAAATAGTGCTGACCCGCATTAGTTCACAGAAGCTACTGAAAGACACAACAGTTGGTAGTCATTGGGTTATTGGGTCTCCACTCCTCGAACTAGAGAGTTTTAGGGTTAGCATTCACGCGCTATCCACTTGACCACCCCGAATATGCGTCAAGAGAAAAACCAATTTAAAAAAGCATGACACATGGTTAAGTGAAGGTGAAAGTTAAAGGAAGCCCGGTTACACAGGTACAGAGTAGAACCAGGTACAAGTACGATACGAACAAGATGACAATACCTTACGGATCAGATTTCTGTAGCTACTCCGTGCTGAAAGAATGAAGTCCCTGATACCACAAAACCTGGTCGGGACACGCTTCAGTGTTAATTAGGACGTTCATGGAAATTCCAGTTTCTTCTGTTCTAGACTTCACTCAGCTACATCATTGTGTGCTGCTGCCTTCATTTACGGTCAAGGTATAGTTTTATAGGTATAGACTGTTTTATAGGTATAGTTTTATAGGTATAGTTTTATAGGTATAGTTTTATAGGTATAGTTTTATAGGTATAGTTTTATAGGTATAGTTTTATAGGTATAGTTTTAAAGGTATAGTTTTAAAGGTATAGTTTTATAGATATAGTTTTATAAGTAGGCCTATAGTTTTATCTTTTTGAAGTAAGTATTTATTTGCAAAATATTTTCATGCTTATCTATGCAAGTTGTGTTGTAAGTTATCAAATTTAAAGACGATTAGAAAATTCGGGGTTTGTCGACTTTTTATGGGACTATTACATGATTTGTTGTATTAATTTTTACAACAGTACAACTACCGAGGAAAGTGATTTACATGCTCGTGAGCCTGTCTTCGTTTTGTTTTGCCAGAAATAGATTTGCAGGTTAAAACACTTTTACCTAGTTATTAATCTAATGCAATTATCAAAATGTCTTCAATTTGTAAATTTCCTAACTTACAAACACTGTAAAATTTTAATAAGTTGTTCAATCTATTAGCCTACGCTTGGGGTAAATCTTAATATATAAAAGCCCATGTACGCACTTCTCTCCCTCTATCCGCAATATTTTTGGCAACGTCGTCAGCCTGTTCAGCGATATATGGAGAACTTAAAGATACGGACTTTTGTTGAAAAAAATATGGCGGACGATATAAATGTATAAACTAAATTTTATTTTAAGAAGGAAAATAAAAATAAAGGCATATTCGAATTTATAAACAGATTTCTAGCTAAAGCGTTTTTTTGTCGTGACAAGAACGTAAGAAACAATGAGGTCACATGACACAAGTTTAAACTAAGTCTTAGTCTAAGGAAAGAACAAAAAACTAATGGGATCATCTTCCAATTTTAGAATATAAAGAAATGAATTATTTCATTAAAACTTGATTTAGATCTACTTATCAATTAGCCATACGCTATGAAATATATACAATGCAATTTTCTCGGCCTTAAGCTTATAAAATTTACTTTACCTACATAGATTCTAGATCTAGAGATACGGAAAAACTAGACTTAACAATAATCAAATAGTAGATTCTAGATCTAGAATCTAGATCTACGGAGAAACTAGACTTAGATTCTAGATTTAGACTCTATCTAGCTCTAGATTCTATTCCAATATGAGTTTATATTAATAAACTATTTCAGGCCTTAATTATTTTATATAAATAATTTTTTTTTATATAAACCTTTATTTGTTTAGCTAGGGAATTGGCGAATCTGGCATACAATTTAATTTGAAATTATAGGGCCTATTCGCGTACGTTAAGTTTCTTAAGTACCCCACATATTCTGCATAAATTCTAACGTGCCTAAATAGCTGAAATGATAGTGTAATTGATACCATGTAGTGAGACACACCAAGTCAATCTTATTTTTTTTTCTCAAATTTTTTTTAGATGTGAATGATAAAGATGCCTATTGGGACTTGGCGGAACATGGGGCAGGTGAAGTAGAGTTCATCTGTTTCTGTCTTCTCACCACATGAATGGATAGTGTGGTCTGACCCACGCTAAGCCGAAATAGTTGTTTTTAAAACACAAAAACAACACAACTACCATTGAACAGCCGGGTTTTTAACGAAATCAGTTAAGTCGCTTAATTTTAAGACTCTTAATCAGCGTGTGCATTTAATATGGTATTGTGTTGACTAATACTGTACACAATTATGTTTTAATTTTTCAAATAAGTATTGGTAGTCTATGTTAGTTTAAACAAGTATAAACATAGACAGTACACAAAACAAAACCCTTTCTTTTTTTATAATCTTAACAATGTTTCATTTCAATGCTACTGATCAATAAAATGTTACTTTTCCTAAGATTCCGATAATGACTTTTTTAAAAAGCTGAATTACAATTCATTTAATTACCCACTTTCCATAGATATATACAGTTTCTTCAGGCATCACCCAGACAGTTTTAAATGCCGCTCTCAAGAGATAAATATCTAAAAGAAAAACCGGGTAGCCAATGTTTAAAGAGAAGAGAGCTAAAAGTCACCAGAATCGCCAGTGTAACGGGTACCGATGACCAGTGTATTTAAAAATGTCATCGACCTTCACCACGTGTTATTTAAATAAGAAAGCGAAAGGTGGGAGAAGAGGTGAATTTGGGACCAAGAATGGTGCGTCACATTTCGCTGTTGACAACTTAACTTGAGGGAGGGCTTCTTTATTGATTAGTTGTGGGACCTGTATATTCATGTACTTGAGAATACCTGCTTAAGAGGTGCCGCTTATTATGTCACCATACTGCATAATTTCTTTCATACATCTCTTTAGGGTTGATGGGGTGGGGGGGGGGGGATGATGGTGGCGGCACGGCCCATCCTGAGCATGTCCATTGTTACGGTACAAATTAGATAAACAATTGTATAAAAAAAAATATATACTCTAAGTAGTATCAGCTGCTCCGGTAACCCGGAAATCGTACCCCCCCCCCCAGCCTTCACAGAAAAATTAAAATTGACCAAAATAAACTGTGCCTTCATGTATCTTCTACATATAGCATACGTAATATGAAATGTTTTTATGTTTTTAACTTACAATACTCTTAGGTGTTTTTAAAGAACATATATTATTATTATAACAACGCCAAGTAAACAATTTTTGGTGATGAAAGCTATATAATATTTAAGATGTTCTTATTATTACAGAAACGAAAATGGCAGTTTCTGAACACCTGGCTAAAGCTGTCGTTAATGCTATCGACAAACAGCTGAACAATTGCACGTATCATGACGTCACCGTGACGGTTGAAGGCACAGAATTCCAATGCCACAGATTTCTACTGAGTGCCAGCTCCGATTTTTTCAGGGCGCTCTTCCAGTCTGGGATGCGGGAGAATCAGGACAGGAAGGTGGAGCTGAAACAGATGACGTCAGAGACGTTTGGTCTGGTGCTGGACTGTATTTACAAAGCTAAAAATGTTCTCTCGGTGGACAATGTATCTGATGTATGGCAGGCGGCCAATCAGCTCCAGATAGACTTCCTGCTGGAGGCCTGCGAACTCTTTCAGATGAAAAGACTGTCCAAAGACAGCTGTATCGAGATTTACATTGAAGCGAAACATTTGGGTTCCAAAAAAACTTATAGAACTCTCCTGGGATGTCTTAATTAAGGACTTCGATTATTTGAGGAAAACAGATGATATTCTATATTTAAATTTTGAAGACGTGAAACGGCTTGTCGCAAGTGACGACTTGGAAATTAGTTCTGAAGATGTTGTCATTGATCTAATCTTAAGGTGGGTAGAATTTGATCCACAATCAGACGAAAGCAAAGTTACGGATCTCTTTGAACACGAATCAAAAGATCGAGCAAAATTTATTTTAATCGCTGCATCTAACGAAATGGAAAATGAAACAAAAGAAAACGACAAAAGACAAAGGCTCGAAAAATGCATCAAACCCACCAAGCCTCAGATTGAAGATGAAGCCAAAGATTGTTTAACACCTGTGGTAGATGTAGGCAGTTCACGGCGTCACAGACAAGCATTTCTCCCAGAGCTTCTGTCGACAGCAAAAATTCTTCTGGTAAGTGGCGCATGTTTCCAGAAACTTTTGGAAAGTGAGACTATATCACAAAGTTCTGATGTTTTTGCTATTGTGAAAGAAGCGCACGATCACTATTTAAAGCCCAGCAAACCGTTTTATTACTATCCTTCCCAAGCCACTCATAGAGCTAAGAGTTTATTGGCAAATGTGGTTATCACAGTCGCTAACCTATATGAATATTTCCCTAAGATGTCTTGTAGAACCAACGACGGCACATGGTACGAACTACAACCGCCACAATTTAAATGTACGGCTGTAGGGTTTGAGGGGTGTATATATGTCATGTCTACTTCCATTAACCAAAACAATGCAATTAGATACAACCCAAACACGAACACCTGGACTAACTTTGTGTGCCTGAACCCAGTAAGAAACAACTGTCAACTAGTAGGTCTAGACAACTACATCTATGCCATAGGGGGCGACAACTCTACTTCTATTGACAGGTTCAATGCTAAAGACGAGCAACAAAAACCAGGTTCCGGCAAGTGGGAGAAAGTGGGAGATCTCAAAATGGCGGTCACCAACATGATGGCTACTACAGTTGGAAACTCTATCGTTGTGTTCGGGAGTAATGCGGCCACAAGCACCACAACCACTGTCCAAAGTTTTAACACACACACCTTGACCAGCCACTTCTACACAGACAACATTCTTGGAGGTGCCAGCAACATGGTCAGTTTCAAAGACCGCAGCGACACCTATGTCCTTCAGCAGACAGGCGCCCTGTGGAAGTTGGCTGCCTGCAATGATCACATTCTCAAGATGGAGTTCTGCACTGTGTTGTTTGAGGAGAAGTTCAAGCTCTCTGCCGCTCTTATACAAAATGAAGAGCTCTTACTTCTGGGGACCGAGATCAATCCCATCATGCACCGAGAATGGGACACCAGTCACCTTGGCATGTTTAAAAGGATAAAAATAATTGAGAGACCCGGATGTTGTCTTTTTAGCACCGTCATACCTAAGTCGTTTCTTGTAACCAAGGAAACGTAAAGATTGACCCACATTTTAAAAAAATGTTGAATTAATTAAAATATTAGTTGTTACTAGCATTTAGAAAAATAAATATTAAACACCGTTTTTCCTGCATATTAATTTTATATCATTGTAATAAAAGATTAAAATGATACTCGATGCTATTAATACAATTACAAGCATCTCGTCAGAAAGATCACACAAATTCTTTCTCTTTCTGTCATTCTCTCTGTCTCATTCTCTCTCTCTCTCTCTCTCTCTCTCTCTCTCTCTCTCATTTTCCCTCTGTTGTTGTGACCATCTCGTGTAAATATTTAAAGTCAGTCAGACAGAAGAATCTCCACACTTGAACGTCTTTCTATGGCGTGTCAAAGCACTTGGTTTTTTGGGAAATGAGTGAGAGATCGATAGTTGGTGAAAAACAAAACTAATTGTATAAAAGCTTTTCAACTGCTTGCTGAAATTCGACAGAACATTTTTTACCTGATTTACTAGCATTCAGCGATATGGCAAGTTTGATTTCAAACTGATGTAAAAGTCTGCATACATTTAGGTTTTATAGATGGATAGTTTGAACATCATGCAAAATCTGTAAACAGCTACCTGAGACGAATGTTCTAGATCTGCTGACCTGAAAGCGTCCTGTCAAATTCCTGCTGATCAAAAAATTTCAGCGAGAGGTTCTATGGGGTATACTTTAAGCAAACAATTAGTCTTCTTCTTTAAAATGGCGCACCGATTTTAAAACTAAAATATAGTTTAAAGTAGGCCACTCATATAATTTATAAAAGATGGAAAAGCTAAAATAAGAATTCATAAAAATATATGTCAAAGGCCCATTTCCAGCATCTTTGTAGAAAACAGTAGAACATGTTATACCAATGTGGACTGTCATTTTTACATAAAGACGTTTCATTCTCAACTGGCGCTTCCGCACGCGCAATTATAAAAAAATCAGTATTTACAGTTTTGTCTTTGAAAATATAGTCGTCGACAATATCAAGTGCGCAGTTTGTGTTTCTTTTCTTTGTAGCGGTTGGAAATGTATTTTAATCTTATTAGATTTAATATCAAAACCGAAAGCACTGCTATTTTGAGAACATCAATGGAGAAGTGCAGTTAGTAAATAAAGTAATATTACTCAAACACTTTAAGAAGACTTGCTAAAATAAAAACATACACTAGCAAATATATATAGACTGGAAGAGCAAGACACAGGAGGTTGAAGATAACATTCAAGACTACAACTTAATCTTAGGTTAAATTATTAATCTTGACGCATTTTGTTTTTTATTAAAAAGAATTTAAAATAAGAGACTGGCTGGAAAGATCTGTTGGACAAATATCGATTTGTATTCGTGGCGTGCTGTTTAAATAATTTCTACATCTATTCACCGTTGTTCGGGCATTCATGTCAGCGTGTCTCATAAGGCGTGTCTCTTTCAACCAAGACGGGGTTTCATTGTCTTGGCAAGTTCAATGATCAGAACGACGAGATAACGAAAACGAATGACAAAGTGTGGCTGGTGTTTTTGGTTCCGTTTAGGTGGTTATTTTCAAGTAATAATTATGTATGCAGCGAACTGTTGAGTTGTTTCGTAATGTAGTGGTCCCCATACAGTAGAGAACTGTGTGGGGAATATTGGCTGGTTACAAGACGAGAGAATTCTACCAGGCCAGTCATCATGTTTAGCGTGTTGTTCTAATACTTCTTATATCGAACGTAAGTATGTGTGTGTGTGCCAATGTATGTAAAATGTGCGTATATATTAAGCCACCTGTAATGGGTACCTGACTCAAGCTAAGGACGGTTGGGAATAGAACTGACTAAATTATATAGTTTACGCCCAAGTCACTGAAACAATCGAACTCTACTTCACCTGCGATATAGACCGCCAGGTCTGAATGAGTACAACCTATTACAATTAAAGGGTGGTTACTGTAAAAACTACTTTAGGTCTACGGAAATCATAACGCGGCCTGAAAAGTAATCAATGAAGAGGAGTAAAGTAGGTTTAAGTTGAGTAAAGTAGGTTTAAGTTGAGTAAAGTAGGATTAATTTGAGTAATATAGGTTTAACTTCTCTTTCGAACCTGACGGCATGCGGGGTATGTGAAAGAGAATTCACCTGTTTATTTGACCGTGGCACCTGTAGGTATAGTGTGGTCAGCATTGTGTCCGGAGTATTTCCAGAGATGGGTGCCGTAATTCTAGCATCCATCAGAAATGGTGGACTCAGGTTAGTGCGCCTTATCTAGTCACCGTCCCCTAAATTAAGAAGAAAGTACTACATAACGCTGTAACATCAGGTTATTTCTGATGTTTGTTTATACATCACGTGACGGTCTGGTGTGTGGGTTAAGAAAACGAAAGCCGCTTTTTCCTTATTCTGACATTACACGATCAACTCTCAAATCTTGAATTATATAGGCCAAACTTATGTGAGATTGACTCCGCCAAAAATAAAGTTTACGAAAAGAGGGATTACGAGAAATTACAAGTAGAGTACATACGTGTAACAGACTTGCAATTTACAAGTATTATAATTCATTTAATACACCACTACTAAAGATATGTGTACATTACGACACTAAATACTAGCCATAGTGCAGAAACATTGCGCCTAATGTAGCGCACTATATTTAAAGTAGTGCGTGGCGGGTAATTCAAAGGGGAATCATTGCGCAGCACATTTTACGTAATCTAGAATACTATAAAGGTTTGGCTCTTGTCCAACTTTAAAAGTACTAGGTAACTATACCCCCTGCACTCTACCCCCCCTCTCTCTCTGGCTAAAACGGTGCTACCTGGTTAAAAAAATCAATGATGATTAATTTTCAAACGTTTCAATAACTTCAAGGCATACTGATATAAGTAACACAATATATCGAGTGCTTAATTTCATTGTAAATGACGAATGGTAGAGCATATGACTTCTAATCCGAGAGTCTTGAGTTCGAGTTCGGGTTGAAGTCAGTAAAACGTACCTGAGTACAGCTCTGATGGATACTTAGCTCACGTGAGGATAATCAGAGGCGGATGGATATAGTGTTAACCACACTACCTCTATGACGAGGTCAGAGAAACAGGTGAACTTACTTCGATTGCCCTATGGAACTTATTACCAATTTTATTGTATGTATCTTTAAGTTTATGAAATTAAAACATATATTACATCGATCGATCTTCATCTTCTAAATTAACCTATAACGATTTTACGTAACTAAAAAAGCTTGTTTTGTGATTTTAAATTTATTTTTCAGGCACTTCAAAGCACAAAATCATGGAGGTTTAACTAAAAAAATGTTTCACTATAATGACCAGAATTAAAAAAAAATTGAAGGTAATCTAATATTTAACCATAACCTTCAATTTTTAATCTAATAATATTAATTAATAATAATTAATAATTATATAATACTTAATAATTAATAATTAATAATAATTAATGATAATTGTTTATAATAATTAAAATGTTATGTCCTTAATGAGTAGTGACGTAACAGTGATCTATTGCTGATTAAACTATATTTAGTTTCTGGGTTACATTTACTGAAAAAAAAAATTTAATTTATTTTTAAATCAAACAGGCTGAACATTAGTATAAACACTGCAACTATTGTTACTAAAATTAAATGTTATGTCATTTTCACTACTTAGATTAACATACATTAGAAAGGTGACCCAAAACACGAGATTTCTTTTAAAGCTAAAACTGTTTTCATTTCTTTAACCAGTGGTCAGCCTCCCCCCCCCCTCTCCCTCCCCCAGAAAGTTTCTAATGCCCATCAGGTTAACAATGTCTGAAAGAAACACTGTTCCTGAAATTGTATTTTCACGACACTTTATAACAGTGGCAGTTGCCGGTTGTGTCATCAATATAAGATGGCCAATAGCGCCACACTAACAGGTATAAACCTTTCCCTGTCCGACAGAAGTGCTTGTTTCACCCTTGTGACTACTAAATCAAAGCTATATGATATTAATTTGGACAAGTTAACTAAATTCTTAGAAATCTAAAAATAATTTTTTGAACTTTAACAATTAATCAATTTTAATATTGATTAATGGGCCTTTTATTTATTACCAACCACCCCATGCGGCAAATCTTGTGACGCACACGAACCTACCCCCTGCCGAGAAGGCCTGATTGTATTTGTTTAGCTATCGTAACGTCTGGCACAATCGCTTTTAAGGGACTGTGTGCCACTGACGATATAGATATTGATTTGTCAAGTGACGTTTACACACATTTTCTCTATAACATGATTAAGTTTTGAATAAAACCTTCGCAAGGGAGTTCTGAATCACGACTATTTAATCGTTAATTTATTCACGTAGTTTGAATACAATCCCGACCGGCATTTTCTGTGTGGCAACACCTCTAATTAATAATTAATACAGCTTTATTAAGCCGTTGAACTTTTAGACATACTAATACATACAAATAAATAAAAATACATTTTCTAAAGCTAAAGGTACACCACACCCTCTTTTATTATAGTTATAAAAATTGTAATGAAATTTTCAATATAAAAGTATGCACTTTTCTTTTGATTGGTTAAAAAACTAATTTAAATACGCGTTTTTTGTACACCCTGAAATGCTATATAAGAATTTAATAGTACGCGAATATTTACATTCTATAAACAACCACTAGTGTGTTTGATGTATTGAAGAAAGCAGTGTCCAAACTGTTGGGGTTGGGGGTGGGGATAGGGGTGGGGATGGGGGTGGGGATAGGGGTGGGGATAGGGGTGGGGATGGGGGTGGGGAGGGATTAAAAAAAGACATCAAGTTAGTCATATGTTGTCTTATATTTGCGACAGTTTGTTCTTGTCAATGGACTACATTTCACATGAAGCTTAATCAGAGTTACATTTATTATTGTAGTAGGTAGCCATGATGGGGATAGCTACACATATACGGTTGGCAATGATTACAGTGTTAACGTGGGTGTTATCACACGTTTATTTAAAAAAAAATAATTAAAATCTGTGGTGTAATATCGTTTAGCT